TAGCCCATGCCCCCTCCCACAACCCCTCCAGCAACCCTCTGTTCTCCATATTTAAGAGTCTTTGTCCATCTTTTGTCCCTCTCTTGTTTTAATATTGTTTTTGTTTCCCTTCCTTATGTTCATCTGTTCTGTATCTTAAAGTCCTCATATGAGTGAAGTCATATGATATTTGTCTTTCTCTGACTAATTTCACTTAGCATAATGCCCTCTAGTTCCATCCACGTAGTTGCAAATGGCAAGATTTCATTCTTTTTGATTGCTGAGTAATACTCCATTGTATACATATTCCACATCTTCTTTATCCATTCATCCATCGATGGACATTTGTGCTCTTTCCATACTTTGGCTATTGTTGATAGTGCTGCTATAAACATTGGGGTGCATATGTCCCTTCGAAATAGCACACCTGTATCCCTTGATAAATACCTAGTAGTGCAATTGCTGGGTCATAGGGTAGTTCTATTTTTAATTTTTTGAGGAACCTCCATACTGTTTTCCAGAGTGGCTGCACCAGCTTGCATTCCCACCAACAATGCAAAAGAGATCCGCTTTCTCGGCATCCTCGCCAATATCTGTTGTTGCCTGAATTGTCAATGTTAGCCATTCTGACAGGTGTAAGGTGGTATCTCATTGTGGTTTTGATTTGTATTTCTCTGATGATGAGTGATGTGGAGCATTTTTTCATGTGTCGGTTGGCCATCTGGATGCCTTCTTTGGAGAAGTGTCTATCATGTCTTCTGCCCATTTCTTCACTGGATTATTTGTTTTTTGGGTGTTGAGTTTGATAAGTTCTTTGTAGATTTTGGATACTAACCCTGTCTCTGATACATCATTTGCAAATATCTTCTCCCATTCTGTCGGTTTGCCTTTTAGTTTTGCTGGTTGTTTCCTTCGCTGTGCAGAAGCTTTTTATTTTGATGAGGTCCCAATAGTTCATTTTTGCTTTTGTTTCCCTTGCCTCTGGAGATGTGTTGAGTAAGAAGTTGCTGCGGCCAAGATAAAAGAGGTTTTTGCCTGCTTTCTCCTTGAGGATTTTGATGGCTTCCTGTCATACATTTAGGTCTTTCATCCATTTTAAGTTTATTTTTGTGTATGATGTAAGAAAGTGGTCCAGGTTCATTCTTCTGCATGTCTCTGTCCAATTTTCCCAGCACCACTTGCTGAAGAGACTGTCTTTATTCCATTGAATATTCTTTCCTGCTTTGTCAAAGATTAGTTGACCATACGTTTGTGGGTCCATTTCTGGGTTCTGTATTCTGTTCCACTGATCTGAGTGTCTGTTCTTGTGCCATGTCTCTGTTTTTTTAACCCACTCATTTATACATGTTACATGGTTGGGAAAATGGTGATTGATTCTGAATCTTAGCATAAAGCAGATTTAAAGGCAGTTTGTTGAAATACGTGTGTTTTAATGGATATTCACTGTTTACAAAAGGCTGCTGAAATCAATGAAATTTGTATAAGCTTAGCTTATATACATTGCTAGGAAAACCGCAAATCAAATAGTAAAATGATGAGACCTCCAAAATGTTTTGTATTCTTCATATCTTATGTATGTATGCATGCATTCTGTTCTTAGACATACTGCTGTCTCTTCTGCTTTTCACAAAGCTATGGCATCTTCAGCATTTATTTTCAGAATTTGCTCACATAGTTTCCCTTGAAAACGTAATAGAAATAACAAAGAGGGAAGGCAGCGTGTTTCAGTCAGGGCTCTTGGATGCAAGCAATGGACTCTAGCTGTGTTTCACAGAAAAGAAATGTATCAAAAGGAAGTTGAGAAGAACTGTACAATAATACAAAGGGCAACCTAATTTTTAAGTGGGCAATGGGTCTGAATAAACATCTCCAAGGAAGACATACAGATAGCCAATAAGCACTTGAAAAGATGCTCAGTATCATTAGCCACAAGCCATATGTGTGTATTGTTTTGTTTTTAACCATTTAAGAGTAAGCTGCATAGATGGTACCCTTTTACCCTTAAATGCTTCAAGGGGTGTTTCTTAAAAACAAGCGCATTTTCCTACATATCCACAGTGCATTTCTTAAAGTCAGGAAATTATCACTGATACAACACTGTTATCTACAGAGGTGATTCAGACTTTGCCAATTATTCCAATAATATCCTATTTCACAGAAGAAAATTCGAGATCATACCTTTTATTCTATTGTTGTATCCCTTTAGTCTTCATATGGACCTATGTTTTTTGTTTTTTTTGTTTTTTTTGCTTTTTGTTTTTGTCTTTCAAGACCTTGACATTTTTGGGGGTATATATTGGCCAGTTATTTTATAGAATGTTCTTCAATTTGAATTTGTCTGTAGCTTCAGGTAATACATTTTGGCAAGATTACCTTAGAAATGATGCTCTATTCTTTTGATGGGACTAGATCAGGAAGTATATGATGTTTGTCCTATTTCTGGGCATTAACTTTGATCATGTGGTTAAGATTGTGTCTGCCTGGTTTGCCACTGTAACGTTAGCATTTTTCCTTTTGTAGTTAATCTATTTCTAGACAGATACGTTTCAACTTATGTACATATTTCTGTTACTGCAAAACTCTTACCCACTAATTTTGGTATCCATTATTCTGATGGTGATCACTGCCAAATTCCATCATTTCTTCTACAGTTATTAGTTGTTGACTTTCTATGGACTTTCTCTTCTCCCGTTTATTTGTTTATATCACTATAGGTTATTTATTCATTGGGTTGCAATCTATTACTATAATTATTGATATTTAAATTATCCCTGATTTGGCCCCTTTAAGCTGACTCCTTGTCCTTTTGTCATGTCCCCTTTTGAACACTTCCTTACGTTCTGGCACAAGATAGTTCAGATTCATTTTATACTTGAGCTACCACAGACCTGGAATCAGCCAGTTTTCCAAGGAAGCTAATTTGTGTGTGTGGTTTTTTTTTTTTTTTTTTTGATGCTTATTCATTTTTTTGACAGAGACAGAGCGTGAGCGGGGAGGGGCAGAGAGAGGGAGACACAGAATCTGAAGCAGGTTCCAGGCTCTGAGCTGTCAGCACAGAGCCTGATGCGGGGCTTGAACTCACAAACCATGAGATCATGACCTGAGCCAAAATAGGACGCTTAACTAAGTGAGCCACCCAGGCACCCTGAATTTATGTTTTAAGTAGAGGAAGGAATCTTATATCTTATGCTGACTTTCTAAAATAATATTGACAGGTGAAACATGGAAATTCCTTTAAAAATGTTACCATTCTTTAAGATTAATTCATTCTCTCATTCACTGAGTTTCCTTTCTGTGCTTGGAGCTAAAGACTTCCAATATAAATGAAGTTTAACTCCGGTTCACATTTCAAAAATAATGTCAGAATAATTATTGCAGGCAGTTAACATGCCATAAATATTCCAAGATGAGCTAGAAACCTGGGAATTGAAGAGAAATTTGAGAAAAGAGTAGAGGTTGAATAAATAGAAGCTGAAACGACATTCAGTTCGTGGGTACAGCATGAGCAGAGGTATGGCACTGGGAATAAGGATGTCTTATTAGGGAATTTTGAGGAGCCTAACTGGTTGGTAGAGATAATAATGCTGGTAATTAGCGGCTAGGTACTATTCGCTGGGAGCGTGGATTCCAACCTGGCTCGTTTCCTACAGGCAATGAAGAGTCCTTAAATTGGGGGGCTAGGTAGTCATAAAGAGCATGTTTTAAGAAGTTTAATGTGATGTTATATTGCAGAATTGATTGGAAAACAGAAGAAACAGGAAACTATTAAAATAATTGAGTCTAGGGTAGTATGAGGACAAGTTGAAAGGAATTTGGAATGTAATTTAGAAGGAAGAAATGCTTTAATGTGTTGAATCAGGGTCATTGGAAGAATGGGGAACCCTGAAAGAAATAGGAAACTGGTGACCTTTATAAGGGAAAGAAAAGAAATAAATTGCAAAGAGGACCTCAAAAACAGGTTCAGTGATATCAAAATTGTATTTTAACTTTTTTTCTAAAATGCTTGATTAAAAGCCACAACTACTTCACAAAATTACTCCACTTTTTACACAAAACAATATAGTTTAAAAGCGATGACTTAGGGCTATATAATATTGTAACTATTAGATATGGTAATGCTTACTAAATCACAACACGTGTTAGAGATATTTGGTAACAGCTCTTTCATCATTTTAGACTTCGAGTGAAATAGGACATTGCTGTGCTAACATATTCCATCATGTTGCCAGTCTCAAATCAGATCTCTGGATTGAGATCCAGCTTCCTGATCTATTTGAGACGTCTGCCTCTCGTTGGCACTGGGGCTGAGAAATTTGTTTCCAAGTGTAGCGTTTGGTTCTCTTTGTGTTAATGAAATTCACATTCCCATCCCTGTCTTTAAAAGAAGATACTCCGTTTTCAACTTCAACTTTGTTTTGAGAAGAAATCACTAGAAACTAAGACCTTAACTTTCAAGATCTTCAAATCACCAAATATTGTGACGAAGACGTCTTTGCCATATGTTGAGAGATACACTCTAGTGTGGTCGTGTGGAAGGTGCCTAGGTCCATACATGCCACAAGAAGTGGGAAAGGGTGTTCCTGAATAGATCGTCTGCCATTTCATTAATTTTTACAATTCAGCATAGCTCCATGTTAACCAGACCATCCTTCTTTGCGGCTATAGCAAGAAAAGTGACTCAGTATCTCTCCAGCTACTACTTGTTATCTCTCCAGCTACTCTCACTTCAGGCTTTCTGCACTGGCTCGAATCCTAGAGGTTCCATCTGAGAACTAAACCTCATTCAGTGCATGGGAGACCCAGCCGGCTCGTTCCCTCATTTGTTGATAAGTTAATATATGGACTTGCTAATTAAAACGTGTGGGAAGAAATTATTATATGAAAGTAATGTATTAACCATATAATGTGTTGGGATAGGGCTGGGTGACTGTCATAATTTCTGCCGCTACAGTTTCTAAAAAGGAAAATAAAGTCGGTTCTTTTTGTTGGGAAAGAAGATTTCATGTTATCTGTGTTTGCAGGCTTTCTGGCTCCCATGCTGGAGGAATCCTTGCTGCGGGGGTGTTTTCATTCTCTCGTCTAACATGGCACTGGTCCATTGCAGCAGAGGTTTTCAGCTTAAACAATCTGTTTGTGGGGCTGCTTATGGCTCTTACTGTACATTTTGAGGAGGCAGCAACCGCCAAAGAAAGATCAAAGGTAACCTATTTTGATCAAAGTGAAATCACTTTTTGTTTTAATTTTTAGACAGTTGCTATATTTCCTTTTAACTTTGGTTTGGGCGCTGTGTATCTGATCTGATTACTGTCAAGGTAATCTAGGCATGTCGAGAGAGAAAATATTCTGAGTTCTTTTACGGTGACCCGTGATAGCCTTTATACAACATGGGACTTTTTTTCCTCTCAGAGTTCAGAAGCTTTCTGGAGAATGAGAGGATTGGAACCCCCTCCGAGTCCTGTGGGAGAGATAGGCTTGGTGGTTAGCCCCACCGTCACGTGTGTGTGCATGTGCGCATGTGTGGTCATAAGAGGCCAAGCTCCAGACTGACCACCTTAGGTTATATGCCAATATGGTACATTGACTGACTCTCTAATTGCCAAAAAGATCCAATTTGTACTGTTGGGGCAGGGTGCACCTGGGTGGCTTAGTCAGTTAAGCATCCGACTCTTGATTTCGGTTCAGGCCATGATCTCACAGTCATGAGATCAAGCCCCGCATCAGGCTCCATGCTGGGCGAGAAGCCTGCTTAAGATTCTCTCTCCCTCAAAAAAAAATACCAAAATATTGTACTATTTTTTAACTATAAGAAGAGTATCAAATGTATAAACAAAGTAGTTCAGAAGAGGTTACAATAAATTATAAGGCAAATGCTAATATCAGAATCATTTGAAATGTGAAGGAACCCGGTCTTCTAGGAGCTTACAGTCTACACATTGGAAGGTACCAAACCATCTTAGTATAGGCAACTTTTTGTTGCTAAAGAATATATGAACAGAAGAATACCCTGGTTTATCTGGGGTTTCCATAAACAGTTCTGTGCTGCTTTAGAGTTTACTTTTTGTTCAAAATAACTTTTTCTGATTATGAAAATTGCACATGTTCAAAAAAAGCAAAAACAGCACCCATGACTTGGTTTCTAAATAAAAAAGTGTTACACCTTATTTTACTTATTATTAAAATTTTTTTTGACATTTATTTATTTTTGAGAGAGAGGGAGAGGCAGAGAGAGGGAGACAAAGGATCCGAAGCAGGCTCCAAGCTGTGAGCGCAGCTCACAAACTCCAAACTCCCAAACTCCCAAACCATGAGATCATGACCTGAGCTGAAACCAGAGTCGACCACTTAACCAACTGAGTCACCCAGGCGTCCCTATTGTACTTTATTTAATAGGAGAAAAAATGAAACGGAAAGAATGACTGAGCTTTAGTTACAGGTTTTACTTCAATGACACAGTATCCTACTGTTGTTAGGACTTATCTAGTCATCACACAGAACTTTCGGAAACTTAATTTGAAGGCAGTCATGTAAGGTCAAACTGCAGTGATTGGATGAGAATGGGCAATATTAGAAAAAATAATGGTGATAAATATTAGTGTCTGTTGAAGTGTGACTGCTTGTGTCTAAGAGGTTGACTTCAGCCTGACCTATGGTACAAGTGCTTGGTTTTAATATAAAGAATAGTTTTTTACCATCGTACTTACTTATGAGTTTTAGATGAATTTCTAACTTAGATTTTTTTTTTTTCAGATAGCTAAAATTGGTGCTTTCTGCTGTGGCCTTAGCTTATGTAATCAGCACACAATAGTACTCTATATTTTGTGCATAATACCATGGATTCTCTTCCGACTTTTAAAAGAGAAGGTAGGTTTTTGAGTGTTTTTAATGAAAATTCATAATATTTTATTAAGGCCCGATATAACATTTATGGCATCAGAAAATGTGTAGCTTTAAATTTTTTTTAGTTTTCTATAATGTGTAAGTGACCTGAGGCTCTAACAACATCGACTGGAAAAAAAAATAGGATTTACAAAAATGCAGTATTGATTGCAGTGGCATCTCGCCTGTTTCATCATTTTCTTAGTGATTCTGAACAGCACCTTTGATAAAAATAGGAGTTACAACACTAGTAACAGATTTCCTTGATTGTTTTATTATATGTTCTAAGACAAAGGATAGTGTATTCCTAATAGTTTATTCATTCATCCAGCTGTTTGTCAAGCCCCTGCTCGCTGCCAGATGCTACTCTAGGTGTTAGGGATGCAGCGCCCAACAAAACAAGACACTGTCACTGCTATTGTGACCCAAAAAATAAAATCTCTGGTAAATAACAATCCTGTTTTCTCAGAACAGATTTCTGTAGAATTCAAAATGATTTATTTCAGCTTTTCCTTTCTCTCAAAGGAAAAATTATTATTAATTTAAATAGCGGTATAAAGCAACATGAGAAAATTACTATACTCTGTAAGGCGTTAGGAGATGTACGTAAGAAGGCAGGGAGCTGAGTTAGGTGTGAGTTTTTGGAAAGACGGAAGCCCTTTATTCTGTCAGTCTTCCTCCCAGAGGTTGAAGCAATCTAAATACAAAGCCAACACTGGAGTCATTTTACTTATTGTTTATTGGTTTGTTAATTATTGTTTATTTGTCAGCTACATTTATTTATCATTTCATTGTTTGTTGCTATAGTCAGAATTATATTAGAAAATACATGTTTAATAAAATTATTATACAGAAATAGGGAAATTGTTCCAAAACTTTAGGTAATTGTATTTACTGTACTTGAACATATTTTGTCCTTAGCTTCTGGCAACAAAGCAAAAAGGATAACATGGAGGTTATAAAATTCTTATGCGATCAAAAATAGATAAAAACGGAACATAACAATTGACAGGAGAGATCAACTTTTTCTTGGAACTGGATTCTGTGAAGTCAATCATGTCCATTATGTAAGGAATATTAGTGTAGCAGGCAGTGTCTAATAGTGGTATTATAGAATATACAGAAAGTTCTTTATCTGGTCTTTTATTATATAAACGCTTGATTTTTAAAGTTGGAGATATAACATAAAAAATATAATTCAGTGAAGGCTTCTCTATAGAGTACAAACCTGAGGAGGCGCAAATATTTTCCTTGCAGATTGACGGATACACAGATGGGGGTGCCCTCACACCCTGCTGTCCGTGATCTTAGCCGGCGTCTTTTTTATTTTTCCAGTCTTCATTTTTTTCCTTTTTCTTTTTCCAGCTTATTGAGATACAATTGACATATAATACTGTGTAAGTTTAAGGTATATAGGATGATGATTTGATATATGAGGTTACCACAATGCGGTTCTTAACACATCCATCACCTCATGTAGTTAAAATTGTGTGTGCATATGTGTCGAGAACTCAAGATCTATTCTCGATCTTTCGAGATGTACAGTACAATACTATAATGACCATCCCCCAGACTTACTCATTTTATAACTTTCTCGTTTTATAATTATTTGCACACTTTGACCACATTCACTCATTTCCCTCAATCCCTAAACCCCACCTCTAGTGATCACCAGTCTACTCTGTGTTTCTGGGAGTTCAGTTTTTTGAGATCCCACGTATAGGTTAGGTCATTCAGTATTTGCCTTTCTCAGTCTGACTTATTTCATTTAGCATAATACTGTCAAGTTTTATCCATGTTGTTGCAAATGGCAGAATTTCCTTCTTTTTTGTGGCTGAATAATACTTCATATTATGTATGTATGTATATATGTTTTCTCTTAGGAATTTTATAGTTTCAGGTCTTTCAATCAAGTCTGTAATCCATTTTGAGTTAATTTTGTCTGTGGTGTAAGATAGTGATCCAGTTTTATTCTTTTGCATGTGACTGTCTGGTTTTCCTAACACCATTTTTTGAAAAGACTGGTCTTTTCCCCTTGTGTATTTTTGCCTCTCTGTCATAAATTAATTAACCATGTGTGCCTGGGTTTATTTCTGGGCTCTGTATTCTGTTCCATTGATCTGTGTCTGTTTTTACCCCGGTGCCATACTGTTTTAAATACTGTAGCTTTATAGTATAGTTTGAAAAGCCTGCAGCTTTGTTGTTTTTTTTCAAGATGGCTTTGGCTATTTGGGATCTTTTGTGGTTTCATACAAGTGGATTGTCCTATTTCTGTGAAAAATGACTGGAATTTTGTTAGAGATTGCATTGAATCTGTAGACTGCTTTGCATGTTTTAACAGTCCTAACTCTTCCAATCCATGAACATAGAATGTCTTCCCATTTATTTGTGTCTTCTTTAGTGTCTTTAATCAGTGTCTTATTGTTTTCAGTGTATGGGTCTTTCACCTCCTTAGTTAAATTTATTTGTAGGTAGGGGCGCCTGGGTGACTCATTTGGTTGAGTGTCCGACTCTTGATTTCCGCTCAGGTCATGATCCCAGGGTTGTGGGATCGAGCCCACATCAGGCTCCATGCTGAGCATGGAGCCTGCTTAAGATTCTCTTTCTCTCTTCCTCTTGCCTGCTCACTCTCTAAATAAATAAATAAATAAATAAATAAATAAATAAATAAATAAAAATTGTTTAAAAAATTACTTGTAGGTATTTTATTCTTTTTTGATGCAATTGTAAACAGAATTGGTTTCTTAATTTCTCTTCCTGATAGTTCATCGTTACTGTATAAAAAGAAAGCAACAGATTTTTTTATATTGATTTTGTACCCTGCAACTCTACTGAATTCGGTTAGTAGTTCTGACAGCTTTTTGGTGGAGTCCTTAGGGTTTTCATTATATAAAATCGTGTCATTTACAAATAGTGACAGTTTTACTTTTTCCTTTCCAATTGTATGCTTTTTATATTTTTTCCTGCCTAATTGCACTGGCTAGGACTTCCAATACTATGTTGATTAAGAATGGTAAGAGTGGGCATCCTTGTCTTATTCCTGATAATAGTGGGAAAGCTTTTAGCTTCTCACTGTTGAGTATGATGTTAGCTGTGGGCTTGTCACATATGGCCTTTCGGTGACCATATACCTACTTTGTTGGGAGTTTTTATGGTAAGTGAATTTTATAAGTGGTTTTTCTGCATCTGTTGAGATGATCATATGATTTTTATCTTTCACTCCATTAATGTGGTGTACCATGTTGATTGATGTGCAGATGTTGAATCATCCTTGTATCCCTGGAATAAATCCCACTTGATCACGGTATATGATCCTTTAAATGTATTGTCAAATTGAGTTTACTAATATTTTGTTGAGGATTTTTGCATTGATGTTCATCAGGGATGTCTAATATGGCCTATAATTTTCTTTTTTCTTTTCCCTTCCTTCCTCCCCACCTTCCTTCTTTCCTTCTTTCCTTCCTTCCTTCCTTCCTTCCTTCCTTCCTTCCTTCTTTCCTTCTTTCCTTCCTTAACTTTTGACATTTTAATTATAATGTGTGTTGGTGTGGGTCTCTTTGGGGTCATCTTCTTTGGAAGTCTCTGGGCTTCTTGGATCCAGATGTCTCTTTCCTTTCCCAGGTAAGGGAAGTTCTCAGCAATTATTTCTTCAAATAAGCTTTTTGCCCCTTTCTCTCTTCTCCTTCTGGGACCCCTATAATACACATGATTTTCTACTTGATGTTGTCCTGTGAATCTCTTAAGCTATATTCACTTTTACAACTTTTTTCTTGTTGCTGCTTGGTTTGGGTGAGTGCCACTCCCTCTATTTCAGCTCACTGATTCTATCTGCTTCATCCAGCCTGCTCTCGAACTCCTATAGTGTATCTTTCAGTTCAGTTATTGTATTCTTCCGTTTTGTGACTTTGGTACTGCCTTATGTTTATGTCTTTGTTGAACTTCTCACTGTGTACGTCCATTCTTCTCCCAAGTTTGGTGAGCATCTGTATGACTCTTTGTCAGGCAAGTTACTTATCTCTGTTTGATTAAGATTTTTTTCCCCAGGGTTTTATCTTGTTCTTTCATTTGAAATGTATTCCTCTGTCTCCTCATTTTACTTGACTCTCTGAGGTTGATTCTTTATACTAGGCAAAATGGCTGCCTCTCCTAGTCTTGCAGGAGTCGCATCGTGTAGGGGATGTACCTCATTGTTTAACCTTGCTCTAGTTGTCTCTCAAACCTTTATGATTGTCTGAGCAGCCTGGGTTTTCCTTGGTAGGTTCCAGTTATTGTGTCAAGGCCTGTGAGTGTTCCAGACGGAGGGATCTCAGCACCTAGTTTCAGGCTGATTGGAAACTAGAACCTCAATTAGCATCTTTAATGTATGCAAATATATATATATGGTCCCGTGGGACTGTAATCATAGGCCTTGCTGGCCTCCAGACCAAGCAATCTGGAGGCCTCCCCTTAGGGACTGATGCAAATTCGGGGCTCTAGATGAGTATATGAGCTTCTTTCTGGGAGATGCCAGCAAGCTGTAGTGAGGCCAAGTGAGAGTTCAAAGATGGTATCCTTCAGCCAGCGTTCCCTGAGAGCACTTCTGTAGCCTTTAGATGTGTGGTAAATCTGAAACTTCCCCACCCCTCAGGCTGAAGTTTTTTCACAGGAAGACCAAGGGTGTGTTTTAGTCTGTTGTCGGTGCAGCCCCTCGGGGATGGTAGCTTGTTAAGAACCGTCTTTCCAATGGTTTCAGACCCATAGGACTCCTAAACACAATCCCCCTTGATCACCAGATCCACGCACTGAAGGGACATCCCCTGTGTGGGCTGTGCACACTGGCTGGCTTTGGTAGAGCCACGATGGAGTGGCACACAGGAATGGGACTCACTCACTGGCAATAACAGGGTCAAGGAAAAACGCCAGAAATGGTACCCTCCAGCGTCTCTGTCCCCAGAGAGAGTTCTACCAGGCTTCTGCGCCTACAGCAATTTTAAGATTAACAAATGAGGGGCGCCTGGGTGGCTCAGTCGGTTGAGCGTCCGACTTTGGCTCAGGTCATGATCTCGCGTTCCCTGAGTTCGAGCCCCATGTCGGGCTCTGTGCTGACTGCTCAGAGCCCGGAGCCTGTTTCAGATTCTGTGTCTCCCTCTCTCTCTGCCCCTCCCCCGTTCATGCTCTGTCTCTCTCTGTCTCAAAAATAAATAAACATTTTAAAAAAAAATTAAAAAAAGATTAACAAATGAATCTTCTTCACTTACGGTCTAGCACTTTCTAGACTGCTGCTTCTGTACCAGGTTTTGGGGCGAGTGAGTCTATACGTTGAGCCCTTAAGAACAGAGTCTCTGTTTCCTACAGCACTGTGAATTTCCTGAATGTTTGCCCCTTTGGCTTTCAAAACCAGACATTTGGTGGGGGGTTGTTACTCTGGTGCAGGTTCCAAAGGTTGGGGTGCCTTATGTGGGGCACAAACCCCATACCCCTCAGGGAGAAGTCCTGTATTTACGAGATCCCTCCTGACTGTGGGTTGCAGCATTGGGGTGAGGTTTTCTGTAAGACCGTGTCTCTGCCTCTTCTACCCATTTTCAGGTGGCCCTTTTGTTCTTTGTTGTGGAGGTGCTTGTTCAGGTAGTTTTCAGGTCTTTGTAAATTTGTGTCCGTGGGTGGAGGTGAGTTCAGAATCTTCCTATCCTGCCATCTTGAACTGCCTCCTGATTACTAAAGCTTTGTAATGTAGTTTGAAATCAGGAAGTGTGATGCCTCCAGCTTCATTTCTCTTTTGCAAGATTGTTTTGGCTATTTGGGGTCTTTTGTGGTTCCATACAAATTTTAGGGTTCATTTTTCTATTTCTGTTAAAAATGCCATTGGAATCTTGACAGGGATTTCATTGAATCTATAGACGGCTTTGTGTATTATGGACACTTAAAAATTTTTAATTCTTCCAATCTGTGAACAAGGGATATCTTTCCATTTATTTGTGCCCTCTTCAATTTCTTTCATCAATGCCTTCTAGTTTTTAGTGTATCGATTTTTCACCTCCTTGGTTAAATTTATTGCTAGATATTTTATTGGTTTTGATGCTATTGTAAATGAGATAATTTTCTTTTTTTTTCAGGCAATTTATTTATTTATTTATTTTTTATTTTTTTTCAACGTTTATTTTATTTTTGGGACAGAGAGAGACAGAGCATGAACGGGGGAGGGGCAGAGAGAGAGGGAGACACAGAATCGGAAACAGGCTCCAGGCTCTGAGCCATCAGCCCAGAGCCCGACGCGGGGCTTGAACCCACGGACCGCGAGATCGTGACCTGGCTGAAGTCGGACGCTTAACCAACTGCGCCACCCAGGCGCCCCTCAGGCAATTTATTTTTAGTATATAGAAACACAACTAATGTTATGCATTAATTTTGTATCCTGCAACCTTACTGAATTCATTTATTAGTCTAACAGATTTTTGGTGGCGTCTTCAGGATTTTCTCTATATAAGATCATGTCATCTGCAAACAGAGACAGTTTTCCTTCTTCCTTTCTGATTTGGATGCCTTTTATTTCTTTTTCTTGCCTGAATACTCTGTAGTACTTCCAGGACTATGTTTAACAGGAGTTGGTAAGAGTGGGTACCCTTGTCTTATTCCTGATCTTAGAGGAAAATCTTTCCTTCTTTCACCATTGAGTATGATGTTAGCTATGGACTTGTCATATGCGGACTTTGTTATGTTAACGTAGACCCCGGATCAATTAAACCAGAATTATTTTAGGGTGGGATCAGCTACTGGCTCAGCCCTGCAGGTGGGTGAACCCTGGCTGGGATCTCTGTTTGGGCACCGCTGCCAGGAGGGGCACCATCTGCAAAATCTGAGCACTGGTTGCTGAAAACCCTGCTCCCTGTCTCCTGTCTGTGTGATCCCAGTGGTTGAGCCCAGCGAACCCCTTTCCCCCACCGTGGTCCTCATGAGGTGAGAACTGAATGAGCCTCCTGGGAAGTGTCCTGCATGTTGGGGGAGCTGGATGTCCATCTGGGACTGTCTTTTCCCACTGGAAAAACTAGCCCCAGGGATGCTCTGCCAGTGCAGTGCGGTGCTGGCCTGGGGGTGGGGTGATGCAGTGAGAGTACTCCTCCTTCTTCCTAACACGGCCCTTCTTAGTCCTTGTGGTGCACAGTGTGCTTCAGCCTCACCCCTGAACCTGGGATTCTTCACAATGATGTCTTGTCTATGGATAGTTGCTAGCTGGTGTTTTTGTGAGGAAGACTGAAGTCAGGAATGATCTATGTTGCCATCTTGGTGGCCTTACTCATAGATAGGCTTCTGACATCAGAGAAGGCGCTTTCAGATACCAGAGCGGTGCACTGACAGTCAGGAACTTAAAAAGTAAATGTCTTCAGGCGCCTGGGTGGCTTACGCGTCCAACTTCAGCTCAGGTCATGATCTCACCGTTTGTGGGTTCGAGCCCCACGTTGGGCTCTGTGATGACAGCTTGGAGCCTGGAGCCTGCTTCAGATTCTGTGTCTCCCTCTCTCTCTGCCTCTCCCCCACCCACGCTCTGTGTCTCACTTTCAAAAATAAATAAATATAATAACAAAAAAAGGAAATGTCTTGTGTTAGTTAATTGAAAGAAGAGCCATATTCTTTCTATGAAACATGCAGGACTCAGAGTTGATAAGGTGGGAGCCTTGTCTGAGAGCCTGTTTTTCCCATACTTAGGTCAGCTACTGATGCGTGATGACATTTTGGGAAGTATGCCTCTTCAAAGGGCATTTCATTTTCACTAGTTAAATAGCAGAGGCTAGAATAAGGTCTACCAGTAAAGTGGCAGGGTACTTGGATCTCACTGGTCAGGTGATTTGAGGCAGAGTACGAAGTCCTGAGTCAGTTGGTTGCAACCCTCGCTACTCAGATTACCTAGGAAGCTTTTAAAAAGTGTGTATATGTGTGTACATATATGTATACGCATGTATACATCCGTGTGTGTGTGTGTGTGTATATATATATATATATATATATATATATATATATATATAGTGTGTGTGTGTGTGTGTGTGTGTGTGTGTGTATTTATGCTGATCCCACCCTAAAATAATTCTGTTTGAATTGGTCTGGGGTGAAGCCCAGGCATTAATATTTTCAAAAAGCTCTGCAGATGATTCTAATGTCTGAGCAGCTAGAACTCTGAGCCACTCTCCAGTGCTCTCTGAAAATGCTCTCATGTAATTGTCTCCCTGTGTATTTCCCCCACAAAAGGAAAATTGTGCATCGTGCCACTTTAAATCAAACTTTATAACATGCAGGAACTGTCAAAATATAAACATTTGCTTTATTTAAAATTACTTTTAAGAATAGCAAAGACATGTTATCCGATTAGCTATTTCTTATACTCTTTTCATGCATCATTTTTGTGCATCTCATTACCTCTTTAGAAATATCTAATGAAATCAGTACTATAATAAAAACACTCCATTTTCAATTAAGAGTGTTTATTTGAAAATGTTAATATAAGTCAACTGCTTGTTCTACTTCTGGTGAATGTGAACCTTGGTTCTTGTATTCATTGTCACATATGAATTTTCCTTTTTTGTAAAGGAAAAGTTGGCAATTTCCAATTATGATATTTGTAAGAGACTCCCTTTCCCAATTACTAAAGCAACCACTCTTTGAGTCTTTAGCATATCAGAATTCTTTTGGATATAATCTTTATGAGACTTTGTCAGTACTGTCCTTTATTTTAGAAATGTGCAGATGAAAAAATACATTCTCATACGAACGTAACAGCATTGTTACATACAACAAATTTCCATCAGTACTCCTTCCTATATGTAAACTGAGGAGAAAGCATTTGGATGAGCTGGGAGGTAATTTAAAAGCTAGCTTCATTTGTGCCCAATATTTCCACAAAATATCCAAAACCCTTGTAGAGAGAATCATATCATCAGTGTGTAATCACAAGAGAGAATATAGTTGAAGCCTACTCCCGATGATGGTGGTGAAGTGAATTGGCATTCGAATAATACATGTCATGACATGGTTTTAAATATAAAACATGCAATCCACATGATACTCGGGAGTCTTCACTAATATTATTTGCTTCACCTGCCATGCAAAGGAATTCAGGCTGATGCAATTCTCTAGTAATCCACAGGACTCAGAAGGTTTAACATAGGATTCTGGGGTAACTTAACTATAAATTGAGAGATCAGCTCTGAGTAAACATTTTGGTGTTTTCCTCGCTGTGTTCTGGAAGTTCGGGGATGAAGGGACTAAAATAAACGTTGTTATACAACCCAATGTGCTCTGATGCAGGAACTCTCCCTGGGCTCTTTGTTGAAGCTGAGTCTGTGCTTCGGTGCTGGCTTGTTGCCCTATGTCTACCTTCCTGTCTCGTCCTACCTCAATCAAGCCCGTTGGACCTGGGGAGACCAGACAACATTGCTAGGATTTTTGACGCATTTTCTCAGGGAAGAATATGGAACATTCAGTCTGGTAAATTTATATTTAAAACCCTTATGGGGCACTGGGCTGGTGCAGCTGGTAGAGCATGCGACTCTTGATCTCCGGGTTGTAAGTTCAAGTCCCATGTAGGGTGTACAGATTACTTAAAAAATAAGATAAACTCTTAAACATAAGTAAAACACTTTTAAGGAAGCAAATGGCAAAACTTCAGTGTTCTGCCTGGGCTTTGACTGAAAAAAACAATATTTATCAATGACAGTACAGAGAATTTTCATTTCAGTTATTTACATAACAGACTTGCTCCTTGGAATATGGCCTTTAACACATTAGCAAAAAGTTGGAATCCCCAAACCTGACATCATAATGTCGTATATCCCGAATATATTTCTCAGCATGACAAAGTTAAAAAGATTCTGCCACCAGCACTTGAAACACTTCATTCTTAGCATCGGGTATCACTTTGGTCCCTCAGTCTGTGATTTAAAAATATTTGGGGGCGCCTGGGTGGCGCAGTCGGTTGAGCGTCCGACTTCAGCCAGGTCACGATCTCGCGGTCCGTGAGTTCGAGCCCCGCGTCAGGTTCTGGGCTGACAGCTCAGAGCCTGGAGCCTGTTTCCGATTCTGTGTCTCCCTCTCTCTCTGCCCCTGCCCCGTTCATGCTCTGTCTCTCTCTGTCCCAAAAATAAATAAAAGTTGAAAAAAAAAATTTTTTTTTTAAATAAATAAATAAATAAAAAAATAAAAATATTTGGAAAGATTAAAGAAAAAAAAAACCTCAAAATTTTTAATCTACCTCGACCAAAACACTTCCTTTTTTCACATTTGACAAATAGTGTTCGTGGTACTATTTACTGTAATACCTATGTGTAAATACTTTATAAAATATAATTTCACTAAAATGGCTTTATAAAAGTTCAAAAGGCCCTACTGTCCCTAAAACATAAATCAGGGCAAAACACTGAGTGTGGTTATGGTAAAGGTTATCTGAAGAATAGGAGGACAAACTCATGTTTTTTTTGTTTTTTTGTTTTTTGTTTTTAAGAGAGACAGTTGTCTCGGATTTTTCTTTCATGGTTTGTGTTTTTTGTGCCTTCTATGAAGGCAAATCTCCGAACACTACATGTTATTTGGCACCATTGATAGAAAATTCTAAACCATACAAAAACTAAACAGTCTATTACTCAAGGAGACATACAAAAGAAGTAGAACTATATATTATTAGAAAGTAGGGGAATAATTAACGCCAAATTCAAGGTAATAGTTACCACTGGGGGGTAAGAAAAGCGAGGCTTATGAGTGCTTTGTGAGATACCCTATGGAATTGGTGCAGTCCTGTTTCTTAAGTGAATGGTGGCTCTGTAGACTTTTAAAAAAAACTGTTTATCCCTTAAATACACATTATGTATGTTATTTGTATGGAGGAGATATTTCATAATAAAATAGGTTAATGAAAGGATAATTATTAATTACTTCTTGACTTAGAAAGTTTGATACTTTAAATTTATACTCTGGCTTAGTTATATTGGTTATTCCATTACAATATTGCTTGAGGGCCATTCCAGATTTGAAATTTGTATAATTCACATGTAATTGTGAAATTATAGACTAACATGTGATAATGAGCTCTAATCAAAGTGCCTTAAAGAGACTCCGTAACAAAAGTGTAAAGTCTGTTAATTCATTAATGTGTTAATCATTCCTGCTGGAAATATTTTAACTGATTTTTAGCCAATCATTATTTCTGCATTAATTCTTCCTAAAGAAAGTGTTTAGTTTTCATTGACTTCTCTGCAAAAACTCAGTAAGGCTCTGAAGTAAAGACTGAATAAAGAGAGATGTTGCTTTGTCTATTTAAAACACGCATATTTAAAATCAAGGTAGTTAAAATACAATAGCCTAACAAAGCTTCAGTTTAATGCTTGCACAAGTAAATTTTTCTCTTTTATGTTTAGGCCAAATCTGAAATAGGATCCAGTATGTCTGAAATTTTGCTGTGAGTATGAAATATTTGAAACTGTGTTTTGTTTTGTTTTTAAGTTTATTTATTTATTTTTGAGAGAGAGAGGGAGAGCGTGCATATACAGGGGAGGGGCAGAGAGAGAGAGGGAGAGAGAGAATCCCAAGCAGTCTCTGGCTGTCAACGCAGAGCCCCATTTGGGGTCGATCTCACAAACCCTGAGATCATGACGTGAGCCAAAATCGAGAGTCAGATGCTTAGCTGACTGAGCCACCCAGGTGCCCCTGGAACTGATTTTAAGTAAATTCTCTATTCATTCCATTAACTGAATTTTGGGATTTCTGGGTTTATCTCTTTGTGAAGCAGTATGTCTGAGAAGTAGCTTTAGCCTGTACAGGTAACAGTTGTGTGTGTATACTGTCAAACATTCTAGCATTTCCTTCAATAAGGTAAAGATTGAAGTGAGTAATAAATACAGTAGTTATTAAGAGACTATGTAGAACCTATGCAACTAAAATGTTTCAACTTTCATTTGGATACGAAATTACCCAATGCACTGTTTCTTTATACATAATTTATTCTTTGTTCTGGTTTTATATATGCTTTTTTTTCAGAGATATTTTATAACATTGTATTTAGCAATTTGATTATTTTATTTTTATTTAGAATTGAGCTATGTTCTTTTTTGTTTGTTTGTTTTTCAACGTTTTATTTATTTTTGGGACAGAGAGAGACAGAGCATGAATGGGGGAGGGGCAGAGAGAGAGGGAGACACAGAATCGGAAACAGGCTCCAGGCTCTGAACCATCAGCCCAGAGCCTGACGCGGGGCTCGAACTCACTGACCGCGAGATCGTGACCTGGCTGAAGTCGGACGCTTAACCGACTGCGCCACCCAGGCGCCCCTGAGCTATGTTCTTTAATTATTCAGAGCTTTATTTACTTGATGTCTCTTAAGACTGTTTCTTTAGGCTGTCCTTAAGCTCTGTTTTGGACTTAAATATTTTTAATATCCAGCCTTTTTTAGAGCCAGGTTAAGCAAATAAATTTCATCTGCGTTACCCACTAGGGTTCTTGGAAAAATGGGTTAATATTTGCTTTAAAACCCACACAGATTAAGACAACTTGAAAAATATCCATACCAATCCTTTACTATTTTTATAATATTTTCAATATAAAATTATGGCAAATAGTCTTCTATCACAGGTGATCTCCTAAGTAATTATTAATGTGGGATTCCCAGGACTATTTGAAAACCATTTTTAAAATATGGGGAGAATATTTTAACTCTGTATACAAGGCAGTTCATAGGTTCTCACAGTTTCTGTCTTGTTAACTTGCTAGCTTGTTTGCTTCCTGCCATCCTTCCTTTCTTTTTAAATGACCTTTTTTCCTACTCCCAGAATATGATGCATAATCATTATGAGAAGTTTAGAAAATCCAGGTAAGCAAAAATAAGAAAATTAAAATTATTATAATTCCAACATACAGAGATAACCACCAGTAACATTTTTGTCTGTGTCCTTCCAATATTTCTTCTATTTTTGTTTTTAAAAATGGCATCGTAATATGCATACTGTTTTATTAGCCTGCTGGTTTTCATTTTATACTGTAATTTGAAAACCCTTTCCTGGTACCAATTATTCTTATGTAACCTTTTGTTGGTTCTCACAACTAATTTTGAATATTTTTTTTTTATGTCTGACTGAACCTTTCGTGGGTCCTTTTTCTTTTTCGTTCGGAGAGAAGGTCGCCAGAAGCTCAGTTATAAAGACAGCTTTACCAGTGGCTGTGGACCTTCATTTTATTCCGCTTTGCTCCATGCCAGAAAACTCACTGCTGCTGTCTTTTACCCACCTCCCAGGGCTGTCATCACACTGAAGATTGCTAGTATATTTTACCTTCACAAATCCCACCTGAACTCCAAAGAACTCTCAAGAGTAAGGCACCTTTGTGAAGGCGCCTGGGTGGCTCAGTTCGTTGAGCATTAGACTTCGGCTCAGGTCATGATCTCACAGTTTGTGATTTGAGCCCTGCGTTGGGCTCTGTGCCGACAGCTCGGAGCCTTTCGGATTCTCTCCCCCTCTTTCTGTGCCCCTCTCCTCCCTCTCTCTTTCCCAAAAATAAAGAAACATTAAAAAAAAAAAAAGAGTAATGCTGGACTTTACATCTAACTTTTATTCGGTGCGCATAAAGGTCATCTATTGGGGAACACAAAAGCTTCCTTTATAGTAAAGGAATAGCAGTTAGGTAATATGCCCAGAAAAAAGACATGACAAAAGTAATGACCACTCACACCCACGCTATTTGTTCAAACCAAATCATAATGTAGACTGGAGGCTTAATCCTAGCACTCTCTGACTGAGGGAGAGAATTTCTAGCCTTGAATTGTTTCAGGTGGACAGGAGTGTTGAGAGAAGCAACTCATAATTAACCTACTAGAAAATCCTTCAAAATGATGGGACCTAATCATCTATCCTTTTCCAGTCAAGCAAATTAAATTCTTTCCCCATGCATATCTCTAAATTGCAATCCTGTACAAGGAAATTATTGAATCTAACCCTAGGCAGTGACCATGTTTTAGAGCTAACACTTAAGCAACAGATCTCCAAGAATTAATTTTGAGACTGACTTCATTCCTTTTGAAGAATGGCTTGAAATGGGCCTCATGCTGGAATCAATTTTTCAAGTGTATTTGAAAATGGGTAAGAATATCTTCTCATAGTAGATGAGTCTCCATTAGTAAAAGACACATTGTGTGGTTTCCATAATTATGGCATCGCATTTTCTCCAGCAAAATTGCCGGTAGGGAGAAGAAAGTTCTTTGAGATGGTGTATAGAGTCGTTTCTTTTCTAAAAAGTGGAGACTGCTAGAGCTATTTTAGAACTCAGAAAGCAGTTGGAAAATCCTTATTAGTTAATGGAAGAATTTAGTTTAATTATAGGAAAAAGAATACATTTCTCAGAGATGGCTTCAACATTCTTGAACCACATAATATAGAAAACAAGGAAGCCTTTTTTTTTTTTTTTAATTTTTCTTTCAACGTTTTTTATTTATTTTTGGGACAGAGAGAGACAGAGCATGAACGGGGGAGGGGCAGAGAGAGAGGGAGACACAGAATCGGAAACAGGCTCCAGGCTCCGAGCCATCAGCCCAGAGCCCGACGCGGGGCTCGAACTCACGGACCGCGAGATCGTGACCTGGCTGAAGTCGGACGCTTAACCGACTGCGCCACCTAGGCGCCCCACAAGGAAGCCTTTTAAGGGAGATCACCTCTCTTGTTCTTGTTTCCTTTTTTATGATTGGATCTCCAGAAAATTATTTGAATTAATTTTGTTTTCAATTAGGAAATCACAGGAGGCCATGTGTACAATGCTGACAGAAGTTCAAAAACCCATTTCTGATGACTTCTTACCAAACCAATCAGAGGATACAAATTGGTTTATGATATCGATACACTACACCATACCAATATTACAATCAGAAGAATTACTTGCTCTGATCCTAAGCCAATATAAAATTGGTAACCCAGTGTTACAATTGGAAAACATCTTGGAACTATTTAACCCTTGGGGTGCCCGGGTGGCTCAGTGATTAAGCATCAGACTTCAGCTCAGGTCATGATCTCGCAGTTCGTGAGTTCAAGCCCCACGTTGAGCCCTGTGCTGCCGGCTCAGACCTGGAGTCTGCTTTGGATTCTGTGTCTCCCTCTCTCTCTGTCCCTCCCCTGCTCACATTCTGTCTCTCTCTCTCTCTCAAAAATAAACAAACGTTAAAAAAGAAATTTAAAAAAGAACTGTTTAACTCTTTTCTTGTGGTACCTTTTCTCCCAAATTTAAAATGAGAAGACAAAGTAATTTTAAAATCTGACTCCAGCCCTTAAAACTATTCAGTGCGTTATCAGGTGTGTCTTACAAATAATGTTTTATTTGGAACTAACCAAGTTTGTTTTCTACCAACAATAAGTTAGATTGTCTTTTACAGTTCTCAAGTAACAAGTATGAGGACCCAACTCTCATTCAACATTCAAGCCCTCGCAGTTTGGGCAAATATATCTTTAGCAAGAAAGTGAGTAATATAATTTTTCCCTATTCTCTTCCCCATATTCACTAATTCCATTCATATTTTAATATGTCATTGTAGAACATTGCAAGTATTATTTTATATTAAATATAAATGACTCTGACACTTCTGTTACAGCAAATTTGTATTGCTTTCTTGCTAGTTTTTTTTTTCTTGATTATAAATTAATGATTTTGGAAGATTGAGCATTCATTACATTACAATCTAAGTAAGCAAGTCATTTGATGTCTTAAACTTCTGGTTTGATCCTGTACTCTGCCCATAGCTACTTATTGTTGCATTGCAAAAGAAGTAAGCCATAATTTGAATTCCTCTGATGATAAAAGAAAACCTGAAAAATGCAACACTCCCTTAATTTTTTGTTCATTTACTTTCTAGTCTAAGTGTTTTATGTAAATTTATACATGTACATACATTTGTAGTTGTGTTTCCTTGGCACTTAACGTTATATTGTGAACATTTTCCCGTATCATAAAAACACTTAAAATCATTTAAACGTCTGCGTAAAACTCCATTCTGTGACCTAGGAGAATTAACTTTTAACTATTTGAGACTTTGCAGATTGCTTCCACTCTTTCTGCTACAAGTAATATTAAAGCATTTTTATGGATTAACCTTTATCCACATTTCTGGTTTTTCTTAAAGATTTACACTTACATGTCAAATTGCTAGGTCAATGAGTGTGATTATTTTTAAGGCTCTTCATATATATTATCAAAGTATCTTTTCTTGAAGATTGTAATAACACATGCTTTTGCAGTATTACGTCCTCACCAATATTGAGATTTGTCATTGTAAAATCTTCTTATTTTGATGCATGACATTATTCCTTTGTTTTGCGTATGTTTAATTGCATCTCCGATTTAACAAGATTAATAATCTGTATTTCTTCTGCAAATCTTAACTTTCTATCTGTTGCTGTATAGTTCCAAGTGAAGTCGTCTGTGATATGTATTACAATGTGTAGTGAATGACTATGTTTTGGTTATATGTTCCCACTCAGATTTCTTTCAACTGAGATCTTTCTTTGTCCCTAGTTAAAAATGGAAAGTTTTATGGATCTAATTTTTTTTCCCCGTAGTTTAAACCTATGTGATATTGTCATTAATATTCATGCACATAAATAATTTTGGACATATTTAAATTTTTTTATAGGGACAGACAGAACCCATCATCAGTATGGCTTTTTACTGGAATGTTTTGCATTTATTCATTGTTCTTCGCTTGGAGGGCGAATTTAGATATTTCAAAACCACTTTTCATGGGTGTGGTAAGTTTGACTTGGATATGGCCCTTTGACCCCAAAGGTGATTAGGAATGTACAATCTTGTCTTCACGAATCTTGTAGAAGAGCGACTTATCTTAGAATAGTTAAAATTGTGTGTAATTTATTATAGATCAAAAATTATTAGCGTATTCTCTTTGTAGTAGAAATTATATATATTTTTTTCAACGTTTATTTATTTTTGGGACAGAGAGAGACAGAGCATGAATGGGGGAGGGGCAGAGAGAGAGGGAGACACAGAATCGGAAACAGGCTCCAGGCTCTGAGCCATCAGCCCAGAGCCCGACGCGGGGCTCGAACTCACGGACCGCGAGATCGTGACCTGGCTGAAGTTGGACGCTTAACCGACTGCGCCACCCAGGCGCCCCTGTAGTAGAAATTATAAATGTAGATAGCTTTTCTCTAATGGCGGAAACCAATGCAGTGTATGTGTGTGTTCGAGAGGCCTAATAAATAATACCCTATTTGATCATCTGAGTTCTGAATCAACTGAGAAATGAGATAAACCAGGGTGAATCACCTTTATCACTGATCACTCTGAGATTGGAGAGTGTGGTTTATGTCTGTGGGCAAGGGGGCTTCCTCATAGCACATCCTGGAATGGACAGACCCACCCACTAGTCACAGGCAGCGCTGTCCAGGGCAAGACCCTCCCCACCCCACACCCGCCCCACTGGCTCACAGGGACAGAGTCTGCCCCTGGACAGGTGCATCCTGTAGGCAGATCACTTCCAAGAGAAAGAGGAAAGGGGAGGGCTCTGCGGACCCACCCTCAGCTCCCAGATTCCCCCCCCCCCATCAGCTCAGTGCCTGCACCCCTCAGGAAAGAAGTGAGGGGTGTTACATTGGTGGAGCTTCCCCACGTGGGAGGAGACATCAGGAGCAAAGCAAAAGCATTTCTCCACCCCCTCCACCTTACAAGTGGCAGGAGTTCAAGGCGCAAGCCACGGGATTGAAAAGAACGTGTGGATCCAAAAAGGGAGATTCGACGGGGCGCCTGGGTGGCGCAGTCGGTTAAGCGTCCGACTTCGACCAGGTCACGATCTCGCGGTCCGGGAGTTCGAGCCCCGCGTCGGGCTCTGGGCTGATGGCTCAGAGCCTGGAGCCTGTTTCCGATTCTGTGTCTCCCTCTCTCTCTGCCCCTCCCCCGTTCATGCTCTGTCTCTCTCTGTCCCAAAAATAAAATAAAACGTTGAAAAAAAATTATAAAAAAAAAAAAAAAAAAAACCAAAAGGGAGATTCGTGTGTCAAATGGGAAAGGGGAAATATTTGAAAATTGAAAGCTAGAGGGACGTGGAGTCGGATTGGGGAAAGTCAGTTAACAAGACCTGCGTGACAGCAATAGGCACACGCGGTGTATTTTTTAAGTCGACAGGTGCCTGATTGGTTGCATCAAGCAGCCAGCCGGACGTGCTGCTCTTGTGTCTCTTGCACAGGTAGAAAGATTCTGGATGCAGAGCAACGCTGTGGTGGCCGTGCTCGCCGGCGTCGGCTTGGCCGCGCTAGTTTCTGAGAGCAACCGAGTGCTGAACACCAGTGGGCTTCAGTGTCTGGAGTGGCTTTCAGCAACGCTTTTTATAATGTACCAAATATATTCTAATTTCAGGTAACACATGCTTAATTTTATGAAAAGTCTCACCCAAACAAGAGACGTTTGGATGTTTAGATCCTCGGACTTTGTTGCACCTGTAACCTCCACTGGTTTTCAGAGTGAGACGGCTTGGTCTGGACGCGGTGCTTCTGCCTGAACAGAATCTCAGGCAGACTGATGCGTAGTTTCAGGGCGTTGCCAGCAAGGGTTTGGGTGGCACATATCAACCAGTTGTATATTTTCCCCCAAGGAGCCCTAGAGAGACTTTGTAGGATTTGGAGGATGCGTCCGTGATGTGTCCATGATCTAAAATACCACTTGGGGGCGCCTGGGTGGCTCAGTCGGTTAAGCGTCCGACTTCAGCTCAGGTCTCGATCTCGCGGTCCGTGGGTTCAAGCCCCGCGTCGGGCTCTGGGCTGATGGCTCAGAGCCTGGAGCCTGCTTCCGATTCTGTGTCTCCCTCTCTCTCTGCCCCTCCCCCGTTCATGCTCTGTCTCAAAAATAAATAAACGTTAAAAAAAATTTTTTTTTTAAATACCACTTGGATGGAGAGTAAAGGCATTTGGGCCTTTTGTATGCCCTGAAATAATTCCCTTTATCCTTCAAAGATTTCATCTTTTGAGTAACACCTGGCCCTTTTCTAGTTCACTCCATAGCAGTGAATATTAATTATTTTGAAATCATTGAAGTTCTAAAAGTTTCTTCATTCTTATGCATTAGTATTATATGTACTTTTAAAAATCTGTTTGATAACCATGCCAATGAAAACCTCAGTCTAACATAAGAGACGTCCACGTTTTAGATGATAGTTCATTTATTTCCATCAGCGTTGAGTAAACGTTACAGAGGTGGAAAGAGTCCACTGGAGTTTCATGACAGTGAGATTTGATTGGTATTGAAAAAAGTTTTTTTATTAATGTTTATTTATTTCTGAGAGAGAGACAGAGACAGAGCATGAGCTGGGGAGGCCTGAGAGAGAGGGAGACACAGAATCTGAAGCAGGCTCCAGGCTCTGAGCTGTCTGCACAGAGCCTGACATGGGGCTCAAACCACGAACCACGAGATCATGACTTGAGCTGAAGTCAGACGCTTAACCGACTGAGCCACCCAGGTGCACTGATTGGTATTTTAAAAGGTTAAATTTCTGGGGCACCTGGTGGCTCAGGTACAACTCTTGATTTCGGCTCAGGTTGTGATATCGAGCCCTGCGTGGGATTCTGTGCTGGGGGGGGGGGGTGGTGCCTACATAAGATTCTTTCTCCCTCTCCCTCTGCTACTCATGTGCCTGCTCTCTCATAAATACATACATACATATATACATGCATATATACTTAAAGCCTTTAAAAAATAATGATTAAAAGGTTAGATGTCCCCTTTCAACTTAACTTTAAAAACTGATGTTCTTTATAATACCAGGGTAGAGCCAGTGTTGGGAAGGCTGCTTCACAGGAGGTCTGGTGGGAAGGGGACATGTGTCCCAGGCACAACTCCATAGCTAGCTTAACAAGGGTCTGCAAAGCCCACATGTTTCCCACGTTTGTTTTATCCCAATCTCCTCCTGACTCGGGTCTTTAGGGCAATCCAGGTTCGACATCAGGGATGCTTGTACATGGCTGGGTTATTGTATTTTGTTTTGATTCTTGTATTTGTCCCAGGGGAATGGAATAGATAGCAACTTCACTAGGTGGCAAAATGTGAGGCATCACCCTGCGAAGTAGGGAATCATAGCAGGAAGCAGTTGCAGCAGTTTCAAAGGCAAGGGTTAATATTTTGTTCCTAGCAGTGTTCATTTGCTTTGTGACGCTAGCCCAGTGATTCAACTTTAGGCTGTGTGTCTCCAAACCATTAAATGTAACAGACCTGATAATAACAGGCAGGACATTGCTTGTTCCGTGTTTTGATGCGTTTACTCTCTTGTAGTCTATTTCTTTTTTCATGGGAAGCTCTCAGAATTCATGCCAGTTTTCTTTGAAGTTAGAAAGTCCACTCTGTCACTGAAAAGAGTTGTACCGCTGTTGTTGGCAATAGCAAGAAATGCCTGGAGAGAAGTAAACAACTCAACCAGCTGTTCCTTCCCTTCCTTCTTGTTGGTGTCATTCCCTAATGAGTTAGTTCTCAGTCTAGAAAGGAGAGAAGAGACTATGGTGCGGGGGAAGTGGTGAAAAGGATCAACCTTGCATGCAAGAGAGTCAGACCAATGTCATAGGAAGTTATGCCAGAAATTGGTAGATTTCCTTTTAATTTCTGAAAAGTCCTTTGGTCTAAATGAAGTTGACATGACATTACCTTGAATTCCAAGTGAAATCAGAAGACTTACTTCTTTTTAGTGAAATTGGGTGTGTTTTTAGGGGGGGAAAAGGACTTATTTCTAAGCACTGATTCCCTTTTTATAGAAATGATAAATTCCAGAAGTAAAGCAGTCCACTGATTTTTGTTTAATTGCACAATCAGTTTTCTTTCAGATGATAGTGTTCTTTTTTCAAATATATTTATCTTCTTAAAAGATATAAATTAGAATACTTTGAAACCCTACATGTAGAGTGCGTGATGGGAAAAGAATGGTGCAGCAAATAAATTCAGTCTTGTTGAAACTGTAGCAGTATGTTGCTATTTTAATGTTTCTTTATTCTTTTGTTTAGCATTTGTGACCAAAGGACCAACTATGTCATTGATAAATTTGCAAAGAACCTTCTAGCCTCTATGCCTCATGATGCAATTATCTTACTCAGAGGAGATTTGCCAGGGAATTCTCTCCGTTACATGCATTATTGCGAGGGACTGAGGCCAGATATTTCACTAGTGGATCAGGAAGTAAGTATGTGAAAAATATACTTAGAATATAGTAACAGTAATCGCTTGAAAGCAAATATTTTTTAAACTTTTTTAACAGTGGATGGGTACAGTTTTCATGAAAACGCTTAGAATATACATCATGTTCTTTTGTTTATTGTAACTAATGTATAAGCCATATGAATTGGTTCCTTCTCATCTAAACAGAATGTTTGGGGGCGCCTGGGTGGCTCAGTCGGTTAAGTGTCCAACTTTGGCTGAGGTCATGATCTCACCGCTTGTGAGTTTGAGCCCCACATCAGGCTCTGTGCTGACAGCTCAGAGCCTGGAGCCTGCTTTGGATTCTGTCTCCGTCTCTCTCTGCCCATCTCCTGCTCTCTGTCTCTCTCTCTCAAAAGTAAATAAATATTTTTAAAAACTTTTCTAAACTGAATGTTTTAAGAATTAATGTTTTTCATGGTAGAATCAAATAATATATTTGGCCAACACAGCCATTCAAATTAACACTGCCCACTGGTCCAGAGATTAAAATATTTTAGATTGAATATAAAATAAGTTATACTGCAGGTAAGTAAACATTTCATTCTAAGTAGAAATTATTAACCCCAATTCTGGTATAGAATTTTGAGTAAACTTTGTTGGTCTTGTGACAAAAATACGTTTGGAGAGGACTTGTGAAAATTTCCAGGTCTATTAAAACAATCTTCCGGAATTGGGGCGCCTGGGTGGCTCAGTCGGTTAAGCGTCTGACTTCGGCTCAGGTCATGATCTCACGGTCCATGGGTTCAAGCCCCGCGTCGGGCTCTGTGCTGACAGCTCAGAGCCTGGAGCCTGTTTCAGATTCTGTGTCTTCCTCTCTCTGACCCTCCCCCGTTCATGCTCTGTCTCTCTCTGTCTCAAAAATAAATAAACGTTAAAAAAAAAATTTAAAAAAAAAAAACAATCTTCCGGAACTGAAGAAATATATTTAAACTATAAGATTTCTAATTTAAACCATAAATACCTAAAAGGGAACAAATCTATCTCTGGTGTTTTTAGAGCAGTCATCAGGGAGAGAGAATTCCTAATCTTTATACTAATCTTAATACTATGATTAGTTTGATTGAGCAAATGAGTAGGCACAATACTTAATAAATTTTGTTGAATTAATGAATAATTGGAATTTTTTGGAGAAAACTGGATAAACAGATTTGCAAATATGGGGAAACTTGCAAATTACACATTTTTTTGTAAGCAGTTTGCTTTTATATCAGGTACACAAATTGATTAATTTGATCTTCAACCTAGCTTCTGACAAAAGCAAGGTTATTAGTTGATAATGTGGTATCCCACCATGATTTTAAAATACTGTTTAGGACGGCAGTCACTATCGTTGAAAAGTGTGGATTTCAAAGTTAATTAGACCTAAATTCAAGTCCTCATTCTGTCACTTCCAGGATGTGTGACATGGGGCTAATGATTTTTCCTCTCAGAGCTTCTGTCTCCTGATCTATAAAATGGAAATGATCATCATTTAAGTTAGGATGCTTTTGAATGCAAGAAACAAAATACCTAAGAGTAGCTTAAACTATACAGTGTTTAATCTCCCATAAGAAGTAGTCTGAAGATAGGAGGTTTTAGGATGGATAATACAAGCAGTTCAAGTGATGTCAGTGTTCCAGGCCCACTTTTCTACATCCATCTTGAACTGATGAATGTCCAGTTCCAAGCATCACATCCTAAAAGGAAGCAAAGTGCCTCTCCTCCTCTCTCCTCCCCTCCTCTTTCTCTCTCTCTCTCTCTCTCTCTCTCTCTCCCCCGTCCCCTGCCCCCCGCCAACCTCCTATCTCTCTTCCCCTCTCTGTTGAGAGTAACATGTGCCCCAGAAGCCCCTAGCAGACCACCCCGAGGGCCCCCCTCTAATCAGTATTGGGTCATATGCTAATTCCTAAACTCCTTGCTGGCAAAAGGGAAAGACTAGACCCAAGCATGGAGCTGCCCTGGACTACCAGGTCAAAGTCAGGATTGTGTCAGTGAGGAAGAAGAGGGTATTAGCTGTTGAGTAGGCACCCAGCAGTGTCTAATGTGATTACTATGCAATAAGGTTACTATGAGAATTAGATGAGAAATATTAAGGTTGTAGCATATAGAAGGTGTTGAATTAATGTTAATATCCCTAAGAACTGAAACTATTGGGTCATAAGATCTAATTCAATAAGTATGTTTGAGTATTTACAGTGTAACCTAGATTAAAATTAATTTGTCATCTCTAGTTAAATTACTTATATAAAGCAAGTAACACATAAGCATAATTGCTCAAAAGGTAATATCTAAACGATAACAAAGCTTTGAAGGTGTAAATGGGAGTCTTTTCTTTAAAAAAAAAAAAGTAAATCTGTACATATGAAAGTATAGATAAGGATATACTAAGTATAGAATTAAGAAATAATGATTTTTCCTGATATTGATGATTTATTTTAATCAAAAGACCATGTGAGAATATACAATTTGGACATACTGATACATTCAGATAATTTTTCTCTTTGAGGTCTAGATTGTCATACGTTGAGCTTCTCAAGGGCAGGGATTTTATCTTCTTCATTGTAGGTGGGCAGTACTTGTTTCTGGAGTAAATGGATGAACAAAAGAGTCGAGTAATGACACATCTCTGTATCTTGCCCAGGTTGTCTAGCCTGGCCACCAAAGACCTTCCAACTTCAGCAAACATAATCTGAGAACCATTTAATGCCAGGCACTGTGCTAGGTGCAGAGGCACAAAGATGAAAACATACAGTCCCTTCCCTCGAGAAGCTCACAGTCTAGTGAGTAGTGTAAGAGCTATGACAGAGGTAGGTACAAGGTGCTATAGGAGCCTATCATTCTGTGGTGGAACCTGGGGAGGGCATCATGGATGAAGTGATACTTAAGCTTGGTCTGAAAGTTGGGCACACATTCTCTAGGTGTGAGATGGGGGAAGGTCATTCTGGCCAGTGCGTCCGTCAAGTGCATGCAGGTAAGATCAAACTAAGTGCTTAGGTTACCAATAGTAGGCGCAGCTTAAGAAATGAAATCCAAGGTTAAAGTCATTTAGAGGAGTAGTCAGTGGCGAATACCTCGGTTGTGCTTGTTCGTATTTTTCAATCATGTTAATATTTAATGAGTATAATACCCACATTTTAGAACTTTTTCATTGTACTTGGTCAACTTGATTCTTTTTTAAGAAGTATATCAAAAATATGACATCACTTATTATTTTTCTGATAGATGATGACTTATGAGTGGTATTTACCCAAGATGGCAAAGCACTTACCAGGTGTCAGCTTTCCTGGAAACCGGTGGAATCCTGTGGAAGGAATGTTACCTAGTGGAATGGTCACATTTAATCTTTATCATTTTCTTGAAATAAATAAACAGTAAGCATTCTTTTCATATAATAGCTTTTCTAAAATCTTAAGCTTTTCTAAAATTGTTTATGTAGCAGCTGTGCCTCATCCAAAAGACCAATTTTCTACACCTATTTCCCTGTCACCGGTGAGATTATCTTTGTAATTAAATTGAATATCTGTGCATAAATGAGGCCAGGCAGAAATAAATGTTATTGTTCTGGGTAAAGGAAAAATAAGGACAGATTAACAAGAATAGCAAATAAGATCTTAGTATAATTCAGAGAAATTGGAGATATGCCTGTCTACTTGAAATCGTTGCAGGTGGATCTCAAGCAATTATAGTTCCCCCCGATCAACACCATGGCCCCCTTTTAAGTGTAAAGCAAATTTTTTCCAGGAATAATCACTATATAAAAATAGCTTAAGGATTTTTCTAATAAAGGATAAAGCATTTCTGTAAATAAGAAAAACACCTACAGTTATGCTGGCTGAGATAACATATGAGAACTGTGAATTCTAGACTTAAGAACGTAAAATTATTCATAGTTAAGGTCAAGAATAAATAACTCCTTCAGTGGTAGAGTGTTGAACATTTTTCCTATCCATGAAATGCTTGAGATCGTCCAGAGTGTGAAGAAGAAAACGTATTTCATAATTTCTATTCTCTTACAAAGGGGATTTAAGAAATTCTTTCTAAATTCCCAAGTTAAATTATCCCTTACTAAGAATTTGATAACATGGTACTTTTGGTGTTCAGAACCTGAAGTTTACTGTGGCTAATGAAGTGATAAGTAATGAGTATAAATGTTCTGTGAGAGTCATTTTAATTGTTCTATTTTTGAATAAGATATTAAGAGCCATTAACATCCCTAAATGGACATTTTTTTGGTTAATTTTATTTAATTCAACCCCACAAACATTATTGAATCTACTATGCTCCAGCCTATGTTAGGCCTTGGCAATAAAGTGAGACTCAGTTCCAAGTTTAAATAGACCACAATCTTGTTGTATATACACATAGATATGAGTATAACTGGCTATAATATAATGGGGTAAGCTCTCTACTATGCTAGCCGAGCTTTGTGAAGTGTGAGACCCAGTCAATGTTCAATATGTGTTTACCGAGGATGATTTAACTGGGAGCATGGGTGAAGAAGCAATTAATTCTGCCTGGAGGCATTCATTCAGCATTTATTTAATAAATAATTGACTGTCCAAAATGACCCAACAACTATATAAGCTACAGATGCATGGGCATGACCCCTGCTGTTGCAGTCTTTTGGAGAGGGTTTCAGGTGGTGCTGTAAATATGAAGCAGATAAATTACATTGTCATCTGGTAAGCATGGAAGTGTCAGTATGGACATAATGTTGGAGATTTAAAGACTAAGTAGGAATTTGCCAAGTGGGTAGGAGAAGGCCAATTCAAGGGAAGTGCACGTGCAAAGTCATGGGAAGGGCCTGCTGAGCCCTGGGGAAACTGGGAGTGGTCCAGTAAGCTTGGAGCACGGGCTTAAAGGGCTAGGTGAAGAGATGAGTGGGGAGGCACAGGGAGGCCCAGATTGTGAAAGGCATTATCTCATTGGCCATTGGCATGAATGAGGCATGTCCCTGTTACAGAAATACTCTATGCTCCATGTGGAAATTCTAAAAAATACAGGCAAATAAATATAAAGAAGATCAATACTATCTGTCTTTAAGATATCCACTGATAACATCTTGGTAAGCTTTTCGGAATTTCATTCATTTTTAACATCAATTATTTACTTCTACAAACATATATACACTCTCACAGACTCCTACAATACTAGCTGAGATAATAGTTTTCTGTTCAGTTTTTTCACCTAATACCATATCATAAGCATTTCCCCATGTACTCAGAAAAATGCTTTTATTACCATCATTTCTTGACTGTTTAATATTCTCATGTAGATGCATGATAACAAATATTCTATTTTTGGACATTTTTGTGAAGTCTAGAAGATTTGACTATTATAATATAGCATGGTGATAAACTTTCTGGCCCATAAATTTTTGTTAATATTTTTGATTAACCAAGGCCTCAAGATAAATATTGCTTATTGGTATCAGTTTTTAAAATAAAATTTTGGGGGCATCTGGGTGGCTCAGTCAGTTGAGCATCCGACTTCGGCTCAGGTCATGATCTCACAGTCTGTGACTTCGACCCCGCGTTGGGCTCTGTGCTGACAGCTCAGAGCCTGGAGCCTGCTTCGGATTCTGTGTCTCCTTGTCTCTCTCTGCCCCTCCCCTGCTCATGCTCTGTCTCTCTCTCTCTCTGTCAAAAATAAATAAACATTAAATTTTTTTAAATAAAATTTTTAGTTTATTGTTAGCCTTGTTCATTATAGAATAGAATAGAATCCGATGTGGGGCTCGAACTCGCAAACTGTGAGGTCATGACCTGAGCCGAAGTCGGACGCCCAACTGACTAAGTCACCCAAGCACCCCAAGAAAAAAATTTTTTAACTAGAAAAAATATGGTTCTATTACACATATACAAATAAATCAAAAATTTTACAAAGTTGAAAGCATAATGCGGAAGAATCCTGTCTTTCCATTGAATATCATGAAACCGTTTTTTAATGTTTTTACAAACTATTCTTAGTAGGTACATGTACTGTATTTTAATAATAAGAGGGGAAAGGAACTATGAGTAGATAGTTAATAGAATATCTTAATGTTTAACTATCATAAAATTATATACTACAACAAATGACTTTGTGTATATAGTTTTCTTTGGAGGGGATAGAAGTTTGAATTCTTAGAATAGATTCTCAGAAGTGAAATTACTAAGTCAAAGTACATGAACAATTGTAAGGCACTTGATAGAGATTTTTTCCCCCAAAGCATTGAGCCATCAGCATCACACGAAAGCTTTCTAAATGGGCACTTTCTAAAAGGAACAAAGCTAATATTATTGAACACTTACTATTTTATTTTTAAGATGCAGTGATATTTTTTAATGTATAGTTCTATGAATTTTAACACATGTATACATTTATATCTTCCCACAACAATTAGGATACAGAACAGATCCATGTGGGATACGTGGATAACCCCCACAACAATCAGGATAGAGAACAGTTCCTTTTCGTTGCTGAGTAGTATTCCATTCTATAGATGTTCCTGTTTGTTTATCAGTTCACCTGTTGAAGGACATTTGGGTTGTCAGGTTGGGGACTGAGCTGCTGTAAATATTCATGTACAGGTTTGTGTGTGAACATGAGTGGGATGATTGGATTGTTTGTTTTCTTAACTATTGAGTTTTAAAAATTCTTTCTGTATGGTAGGTACAAATCTTCAGCAAATATGTGATTCATAAATTTTGTAGCTTGACTTTTATTCTTTTTTGAAGTGGCTTTTGCAGATAAATTTTTTATTTTGATGACATCCAATTATCATTTTTTTTCATTTATGGATCATACTCTGGTGTCGTACCCAAGAACTCTTTGCCTAATGTCAGGTCACAAAGATTTTCACGTGTTTTCTTCTAGGAGTTTAATAGTTTTATCTTTTACATTTCATATCAGTGATCCACTTTGAGTTACTTTTTGTAAGGGGGCAAGGGATTAAGACAAGGTTCTTGGGGATTCTTTGTTGTTTTGTTTTTGTGTATAAATGTCAAGTTGTCCTAATATTTGTTGAAAACATCCTTTTTCATTAAATGGCATTTTCATCTTTGTATCTACAAAAGAAAAAACTCTTCTGGGTTTTTGATTGGGTTTTAATTTGAGTAGTGTTTTCATGTTCTATCTTTTTTATTCTTTTGTTCTTAACCACCCATATCATAGTTAAAGTGGGTTTCTTGTAGACAGCATATATCTGGGTCTTGTTTTATTTTCCATTCTGACAATGTCTATCTTTTCATTGGTGTATTTAGACCATTTGCATTTCATGAAAATATTGACGTATTTAGATGTATGTCTACCATTTCATTATTTGCTCTCAGTTTGTTCCCTCTGTTTCTCAGTCCACTGCTTCCCTTTTCCTGTCATATTTTGGAAATTTTGATTTTTTTAGTATTCCATTTTAAATTATTCAGTTGTTTGCTATGTCTCTTGGTAAATTTTTTTTTAACAGTTGATCTTGAGAATCACAGTATCCATAACTTTTCACAGTCTACTTAGGATTAATATTTTGCTACTTCGAGTGGCATATAGAAAACTTACTGCCATATAAGTCCCTTTAACCTCCTCACTTTTGTGTTATCAAATATATTAATTATACCAGATACTTGATAATTTTTGTTTTCATCTGTCATACATATATTTTTTAATTTAAGAGAAAAAATAATTTAAGGTATGTATCTAGATATTTATCATATCTGTTGCCCTTCTTTTGATCCCAGGATATCATCATCATTGTTCTCTGTGTGAAATGTGTTGTTTTTCTGTGGCTGCCTTCAAGATTGTGTCTTTGGTTTTTAGCAGTTTGGTTATGGCGTATCTGAGCATGGATTTCTTTAAGTCTAACCTGTTTGGTGTTCGCTGAGCTGCTTAAATCTGTAAGATTGTGTCTTTCACAAAATTTGGGAGATTTTTTGACATTATTTCTTTAAATACTTTTTCTGCTTCACTTTTTTTCTCTTCTCCACCGGGGATTCTGATGACATGAACATTAGACCTTTTGGCACTGTCTCACAGGTGCATGAGACTGTACTTTTTTTTTTTTTCAGTCTTTTTGTTTGTGGTTTAAATCGTCTCATTTCTCTTGATCTGTCACCATTCAGTTTACTGTCTGCTTCTCTCTCTCTCTCTTCCTCCCTCTCTCTCTCTCTCCAGACTTACATTAAGCCCATCTAATGAATTTTTAATTTCCATCATATTTTTCAGGTCTGTAATTTCTACTTGGTTCCTTTTTATATCTTCTGTTTCTTTGTTGAGATTTTTCTATTTTTCTATTCATTTCAAGAGTATTTGCCTTTACTTCTTGGGGCATTGTTATAATAGATATTTTACAGTCTTTGGCAATTCTAACATCTGTACCATTTTGGAATTCACATCTATTGATTATATTTTCCCTTGTGAATTGAGATTTTCCTGCTTCTTTATAAGCCAAATCATTTTTGGATTATATCCTGGACATTTTGGATATTTGGGCCTTATTTAAATCCTAACGAGAATGTTGATTTGTTTGTTTGTTGGTGTAGCAGGCTGTCAGCCAGGTAAATCTCAGGCTGCAAATTCTGACCTGCCTTCTGTGTCCTGTAGTTCCAATATTGGTTCTGTTTTCAAAGCATTTGCAGTGCGATCTGAATCAATCCCTGTGTGCTGCCCATTACTCAGTCTGGGCCTTGGGTGGCCATCTGTCCAGTGACTCATTTCTCAGAGTCTATTTAGGGTCAGATCCATGCATGCTGAGCTCGGAGATATGCCAGGAGTTCCTACACAACTTCATGGGATTGCTCTCTTGACCTCCCTCCTTTCTGTCTTCACTCTTGCCCTTTTCCTTCTTTGGAGCCTTCTTTCCTGGTTGTTTGGCCGGAAAGCTGGAGCTTTAATTTCCCTCACCTGCCACGCAAGTCCTGTGACTGTGTCTGTGTCTGGGGCCAGGCTGCCAGAGGCCGAACAGAGGTAAAGAGCAGTGAGGATTTGCTCCTGGCTCTTGCAGCCGCAGCTCCTCTGATTAGAGAGGTGTTCCTTTCCTTCAGAACTGTAGGAACCTGCTGGTTGCCCCTGCCGTCACTGTGCTGTTGCCTCTGTAACTGGCACAGTACTTCCTGGTGCCTGGGGAAGGAGAGGAGGGGAGATCCAGGGGATTTCCTCTACTCTCCCCAACCTTCCCTTTCCTCCTTCTTGGGCTTGAAAACAGGGGCTTTTCTTGGAGCTCTTTTTGTCCTCACCTGGCATTAGGCTTCCCTTGAGTCCAGGCTAGGCAATATCAGCAGTGGGGAAATGGTAAACTCCCCACAGGTTTGGTAGAACTCAGAATTCCGGTGTCTTTCCCTGTGCTTGTTTCTGCCATTTACTCTTCAGAGTCCTCAGATTCCAGGCTTTCTGTCCAAGAAGTCTAGTATGCAGTGGGGGAGACAGAGTGGAGCGTGCTTCCTCCATCTTTCCCCAAACCAGAACTCTTATTCTGTTTTAAAACTGCACTTTGGGGGGCGCCTGGGTGGCTCAGTCGGTTAAGCGTCCGACTTCGGCTCAGGTCACGATCTCGCGGTCCGTGAGTTCGAGCCCCGCGTCAGGCTCTGGGCTGATGGCTCAGAGCCTGGAGCCTGTTTCCGATTCTGTGTCTCCCTCTCTCTCTGCCCCTCCCCCGTTCATGCTCTGTCTCTCTCTGTCTCAAAAATAAATAAAAAACGTTAAAAAATTAAAAAAAAAAAAAAAAAAAACCGCACTGGTATCAGATCCCCACTTAATCTTGAACAGCTCTGAGAGGGTTTGCCCATTTCACAGCTGAGGAGACTAGACACAGGTAGTTAAGTAATTTCCTCCAAATCACAGAGGTCAGAGATGGTGGGAAAAAACCTAAAATCTAAGCCGGAAGTATCTTGTTTCAAAGTTGATGGCGTCTTTTATTACTTTCAAGTAATTTCTTCTAATATACGTCTTTTTTCCTATTTCGTAATAGCTACCCAGTCACACACCACAAATTGGAACAGAACTATTCGATTATAGTGAGTTTAAACCAACCTTTTTAAACCATTTCTATTCCTAATTTTTGCAGGATTTGAAGCTTTTTATAGTTTATTCAATCTAATTGATTTTAGTCAGCAAATATGGTGGATTAGCTAAGCATCCTGCTATGTGTGGTTTAGAGTTAATTCAGAGATAGAGAGCCTATCCTCAGGATGCTTCTGGGCTACATGGGGAGATTTGTGAATGCAAACAATAAGTACAATACAGTAACAATAAAAGAGAAGAAGAAAGTGCAATGGGAATTTGAGGAAGGAGAAACTACTTCTAAGCAGGGAAACAAATGAAGACGTATTATTTCCACCTGTAAAATGAAAAAAGAAAGGTGTCAAATAATGTTTAAGTTTACATGTGAAACAGGACCACAGAAGCTTTCTTTCATTATAATAATGCTTGTCCCCAAATGATTTCTTATGTTTTGAGCAGGTAGGTTTTATTATTTATGTCTGTTACCTTCTCCCCAGCTCTCCCCAAACAGCTTTTTTTGCACTAATATAAATTCTAAACGGTCTATTTGGGAAAGATTTAAATAAACCGAAAGGTTTACCAATTGTTTATTGCTAACCAAGATTCAAGGAGTCAAAAATGACCCTTTATGAGTTGTATTTATTAACATTTAGAACTTTGAGTTAAAAATATTTTCTTTTCTGTTTTCAATAGGAAGAAAACATTCGTTTGCATAGGAATTCATGAAGGTGACCCAACCTGGAAAAAGAACTATTCACTTTGGCCTTGGGGTTCTTGTGACAAATTAGTTCCTTCGGAGATTGTATTCAACCCTGAGGAATGGATTAAACTCACAAGAAATATCTATAACTGGACCGAAGAATATGGAAGGTAGGAACAGCAGTTCTGTTTTTCATCAGAGTATGGCAGTTTTGTGTGCTTAAAAAACTAAATTTTGAGATGCCTATGAATAGTTTTGATTTTTTTAAATTAGTTATTAGTATTATTTGCTGCCCACATGAATTGTAACAGAGAACATGTATTTCTTGTTCTCATGTTTGAAGAACAGTAGGGAGATGGGAGGGGAAGGGGGGGCTTCGGTTGAGTGGGCACCACAACAGGTTGGTGCCCTGCACCTTCCGCTTCCAGCTCTTGTGACGCCATATTGTCCACCATCCTCTGTCTCGCACCCTAAAGGTGGAAGAGATCCATCAACTGCAGTAGAGCTTTACAAGGTACTCTGTTTCCCGTGAGAGTTTTTATGCGCACGAACTTGCCATATTTTCCTCTCTTCAGGAGTAGCACATAACTTGTCTATAGGGGAGACTGGCCCTTGAGTAACTTTTTCCTACTCATTAGGAAAAAGTCATTATCCTGGTTATGTTGTTTGTCATTATCCTGGTTATGTTGTTTGGGGGTGTGATCAGTCTTCCTTGAAGCATCTCTATAGAGCTGACTCTCACCCATATGAAAATTGAGTCACCATCTCTAGAAATGTGCTTCTCTTGCCTATTTCTTAAGTTATGAATTACTTAAAGATTAGATAATTATTATTTATAGGGGCGCCTGGGTGGCTCAGTCGGTTAAGCGTCTGACTTCGGCTCAGGTCATGATCTCACGGTCTGTGAGTTCGAGCCCCGAGTCAGGCTCTGTGCTGACAGCTCAGAGCCTGGAGCCTGCTTCGGATTCTGTGTCTCCCTCTCTCTCTGACCCTCCCCCGTTCATGCTCTGTCTCTCTCTGTCTCAAAACTAAATAAACATTAAAAAAAAATTATTGCTTATAATTCAAGGACAGGCAAGATCATATGAAAAATGCTACAAAGGTTTTTTGAATCAATATGTGCAAACAGTCCACAGTGCACCAACCAGAGATGAGAAGTAGGTTTATATCAAAGCACTCCATAGGGGCACCTGGGTGGCTCAGTCGGTTAAGTGTCCAACTCTTGATTTCAGCTCAGGTCATGATCTCATGGTTCGTGAGTTCGAGCCCCATGGTGGGCTTCACGCTGACAATGGGGAGCCTGCATGGGAGTCTCTCCCTCTCCCCCTCTCTGACCTTCCCCCCGCTCTTACTTGCTCACTCTCTCTCAAAATAAATAAATAAACTTACCTATGTATATTTAAAAAAAAGCACTCCATGACCATTGTCAGAAGTTAGAAAATAATCTATTCTGGGCACCTGGCTGGCTCGATCAGTAGAGTGTGCCGTTCTTGATCTTGGGGTTGTGCGTTCGGGCCCCACCTTGGGCGTAGAGCTTACTTTAAAAAAAAGAAAGAAAATAACCTTTTCTGCCAACAGTGACCATAGCACAAATACAGGACACCACTCGTTATTTCCATTCCATCAAAATAGACACATAATAAGAAATTTAATTAAGAGAAGTCAAAATCCAGCAGATGGTTTAGCCATTGTTCTTTGAGCAGCGTCCTGGCTCCAGCAGTGATTTTTATCAAAGCCACGAGTCCCCTCTCTCAAGCTTATCCCCTAGCTTCACAGCTGTTTGGCTCTTAGCTGTGTCCATAGAGTGACCGAGGCCTCACCCCTGCCCTGTTGCCCATCTTGCAGTTCTTGGGAACAGCTGGTTCCTCAGATGCCTCCAACCTCTTCCCACTAATCCTTCGTTTGCTCCCATGAGGCACCGGGGCTCATTATGCAGATGAAGAATACATTTACCAAAATTTCAAGTTCCTAAGGATCAGACTTTTCTAGGATAAGTTTATTATTTCCGTCCCTATCAGTACTTCAAGATCCAACCTATTTTATTGCCTTGTAAGATTATAAAACAAGGATTCCATACCTGCCTGTAGCAATAAATGTAGCTTGCAGAAAACTCTCACTGCTTTCTTGTAACTGCAGGTTTGACCCATCTTCTTGGGAATCTGTGGCCAACGAAGAGATGTGGCAAGCAAGGTGACTATCCTACACTTATGTGTTTGTGGTCTGTTTTTCATATGGCAGGGAAGCAGCCAGTAGGGTAGGGGGTCAGTGGTATGATAAAAATAACATTTATGAGCAGTCATTTTGTTTGAGGCGTTGTGCTAATCGTTGTACATTAATAATCCCATTTCATCCTCACGACAACCTATGAAGAAGTTACTATTATCCCCATCTTAAAAAAGAAACACACTGAAGGTAGAGAGGTTACTGGCCAATGCCAGATTGCTGCAAGTGATGGGAGTCTGAAACTCACATCTCCCTGACTCAGGCACAGCGCTGTGCTCCGGTGCTCTCTGCCTCGAGTAAACCAAGCAAGTGTAATTGTTGAGGGGCAGTTAATACTGCCCTGGATCCATGTGGAATGTGCTAATTTAATTAAGCACCTGCTGAATACTTCCCAGAGGCCAGACACCATACCAGGCTTGGAAGCTACACATATGAATACAACACATTTCCTGCCCTCGAGGGGCTTACAGTCTAAGGGAGCAGATTTGAATATCAACGTCCTAGATGCTATACTTTCCTGTTGTGCCTGTATGGAACACGTTGTGGTGATGCCGTTGACTGCCATTATTTTGAAACATTCAAAATCTCTAACGCTAACAGACTTTGGCCTGGATATTAATATGAAAGTCCTAAGTGGTATACAGAGGGTGATACCAAGTACATAGGAAGTACTTCCTTCGGCAAAGGAAGGGTGCCCAATCTGAGCCCGGGACTGTGCTCCACACCGAGGATTGAGTTATGATATAAAGGATTTACATAAGTTTAAAGAGCTTTTAAAAAAAGTGTCCAGAAATACAGCTCCAAAATAGCAATTACAAAAATAGATGTACTGTGGTTTATGCAATAGTGTTTTTTGAAAAGCCAGAAAACAGCATAATTCAAGTTATCAGCCTAGCTATAGGGACAAATACTTGCTTTGAAGAACTGATCAAAGATGCACTGCACCGTATGTTTGTACAACACTTTACTGTGACTGAATGTAGGAAAGCTGGGGGGGAAATCACCTAAAAGAAGGAAGCCAGTCATTTTTCAGGCAGGTATTGATTTAACTGGCGTGCTGAATACAGTTTGGATGAGTGCATGTGGTCAAAGAGTCCAGCTACCTTTGAAGAACTCGTCACACGTGGCATGAGCCGTGGCGATGGGTCCCTTCAGGGGTGTGCTGACAAACTCAGCAAGTCTCCCCCTTCCTGGCTGCTCCTGCATGACAGTAATGTGCATCTGGAGGAAGAATGAAATGATGTATAATAGCGATGATGAATTTAAGCTTTTTTTCTAAAAACTTTGGCAAGCAGTGCGGATGCAGCGTGTTGGCAGTGGGGAAAGAAGGAGTTGCTGTTGGTTCAGAATAAACTTCTGTGAATATGGGAGAGGTACAAACAATGCAGTAAAGGGTTTGGTGTGTTCCTTATCAGTGGAAAAATCTGGTCGATGTAGCTGTACGTGTGAAATTTGACATCATGGTTTTAATGAAGATTCCCACCCACCCCCGCACTCCCAGGATGAAAACCCCGTTCTTCATCTTTAACCTGGCAGAAACAGCAAACGTACCTCCAAATGTGAAGGCTCAACTCTACACTCACGCATATAACGTATGTTCCATTTTTATATATATAAATATATTTGGGAGGAAGGTGGTGGGGATTAGAACGGAGGGAGTGTGTATCCCAGTAGAGTTTTTACTTTTTTGTTTCTAGTTTCATATGGCTTTTATAAAGCAGTATAAATGGAAAACTACTCGTACATCATAAATAATGTCTAAAGTAACCGGTGTGGTTGGCAAATGATGTCCATGTCTTAATCTCTGAAACCTGTGAATATACGGCCTTACATGACAAAGGGGACTTTGCTCATGTGATTAAGTTAAGGATCTTGAGGTGGGGAGATTATCCTGGATTATCCAGGTGGGCCCAGCATAATCACATGGCCCTTTTAAGAAGGAGGCAGGAGGGTCAGAGAGAAGGAGACGTGATGATGCAAGCAGAGGTCAGAGGAAAAGATTCGAAGACGCTACGTGGCTGGCCTGGAAGATGGGAGGAAGGGGCCACAAGGTAGGGAGTGCAGGCAGCCTCTGCAAGCCACCAAGGGCAAAGAAACAGATTCTAGAGCCTCCTCGAAGAACACAGCGCTGCTGCTTTTACAAAATCCTCGATTTTATGCATTTTGACCTCCAGAAGGGTAAGATAATAAATGTATACTGTCTTAAGCCATTATGTCTGTGCTGATTTGTTACAACAGCAGAGGAAACTAATAGGAAGCCATTGGAACAGGAAACAGTCACCACCAGACAAGTTCTGACAGGTTTGCCCTCTAGACAAAAGTCATGACCCTGGCTGCACTCGAAAGTATAGGTTCCTGGCTGGGTGGGATTTCATGAGAAAGATAAAGGGTCTTGGCAAGAGGCTCTGTCTTCTGACTGTGGCCCTGTCTTCTGACTGAAGCCAACCCAACCTTCAGATGGCCTGGCCACACACAGACTCTTGTGTAGGCGGTCCTCACTGACGGGAGAAGAGAGGGTGGAGCACAGGCTTGCTGTTGCTCCGTTTTAACGAGCCCCTTCTTTTCTGTGACTTCTAGCCCTGGGTTCCTCAGACACCTTCAAGGATCATCTTGGAGCCTACTATGTAGGAAACAGATGTCCTGGCATGGGCCAGTGAGACCAGAGCCCGGGAGCCATATATGTGAGCACCTGAGGTGTTTCCGCAGCCTCTAGGTGCTGTGGGTCTACTCACCAGGGCAGTGGTTTAGAGCTAAGTCAAAATCACACAGCATCCAATCCGTAGGACTCAGTTTACTCCTAAATTTTGTGATCGTGGGTTCATTGTTCATTTATTCATTTACTCACAGAGCGCTTATTGATCGCCCAGTCTGTGCCAAATATTGTGTTGGAGATGACCAAGTATTGTCCCTGCTACCAAAGAGGTAGCAGGCTAGAGAGGGAGACAGAAGATACAGTTCTCGGTTACATTCAGTCTTGCAGAGGTGCTGTGGGAACAGCACACTGTACGTGAGTACACCCCTCTGGCGAGGGGTGGTGAGGAAGGAGGGGGAAGTCTTCGGAGATGTCACTGGAGTGTCATCTTGAAAGCTCAGACGAGCTAGCCAGACAGACTGTGGGCAGGGTAGTGAGAGAGTGGGCGAGGAAGGACAGTCGATAGGGACAAAGGCAGAACCCTCCGAGGTGCCCACTCGAGGACAGCAAGGGATCGATTGCAGGAGGCAGCAAGCTGGAGTTCTGTCTGGCATTTGGAAGATCCAGGTTCAAGGCCTACTCCACCACTAATTGTCAACTGTAAGTCAGTTAAACATTCCAGGCCTCGATTTTTTCTAAAAATAGAAGTGGGCTTTAAGCTTTGTTAATTATCTCTCACGCCCTGGTCATGTCATATCCTGTTCATCTCTCATACCCTGTGATTCCATGAAAAACAAATAGTATTTAGTTGGGAGAAATCTCTGAGACTTACTGATACTTCATATTCTCATCAGTGACCTGTTCCATGGCCACCGTTGCTAGGGCGCCACTGAAGCTAATTCACGGATTCATTGTCCCTTTGGACCTGGAAGCTTTACTCTTTCCAGTGGACACAAGTCCGTGGGTGTCTTCTTCGCATATGCCTCCAGATATGTGACTTTGTTTGCAAGACAAATGAGGTCAAATACTTGATGGGTCAACACAAACCCACCCCCCCCAGTACTGGTATTTCAAGAACGCTCTTGTTAGGTGTAAGACATTGTGTATAGTATTCCACTCAATAGCTGATGCAGAACTTTCAGTTCAGGAGACATTAAGTTCAGGTGTAGTGGGGGAGCAGGGACTATCCCCGTTAGCTTTAGGAATGCATTCGATAAGTTGGTGTCCCCACTAAATAGAATACAGTCTGCTAAGACTAACGTCATGGTAACATTCACGTAGAGGAGGAAACGTAATTCCAGGTGATGAGAAATGACCGGCTTCTTAAGATACAGCACATGTGGCTTAACGGGCCACCTGGTAGAAGTTGACGATGCGTCGGTAACAAAGTGTTCGAGAGACGGGTGGTATGTTCATTCTGTTATCTAATGACTGTAACAGGGAGGTCATGAGTGAGCCTCTCATCCTCTTGAGCCGTTGGGGAAATGCTCACTGAAGGGCTGGCCTCTGTGTTGAACTCCAGAACCCAGGTGGGATTCTGAAAGCCGAACCGTTTTTTGAACAGTTCCTGGGTGCCTGCTTTGTGCCTGTCAGCAAGGCTTGGAAAAAGAAGCAGCAGACAGATAAAAAAAAAAGGAAAAAAACCTGAGGAAAGACAGGGAAACATTGGATAACTGACCAAGAGAATGGAGGAGTGGAAGATAGCATCACAGTTTCCACGTACATGCAAGTGCGAGGTGACCGTTTCCTTTGTTACGGAGTGAAAGAAGCGCATGGGCCAACTGCTTTAAAAGCCAGCTTGGGGGCACCTGGGTGGCTCAGTCCATTAAGCATCCGACTTGATACCAGCTCAGGTCATGACCTCACGGTTGGTGAGTTTGAGCTATGAGCCAGGCTTTGCACTGACAGCACGGAGACTTTAGGCTTCTCTCTCTCCCTCTCTCTGCCCCTCCCTCACTCTCACTCTCTATCCCTCTGAAAATAATAAACTTAAAAAAAAAAAAGGCCAGCTTGGAGACTAAAGGTCAGTAAATACCAAGATGACATATGCATTTATCTGCCCTGGAGTAGAAGTCGGGCCAATAGATGATCTGTTGGGTTCCTTTCAGCTGAATGATGTGATGAATACAGTTCTAACTGCAAAAGCCCTTGTCCCTGTAGAAAAGCATCATTGCTTGTTCTGCGCGTTGAGTCTGCTGCTGACCTCAAGTTCCTGTACATCCGAGTCCAATCTGACAGCCCTCAGGAAGGCTGTGAAATTTCCAAATAAGCAAGTCTAATATCCCGTTGTGCAGATTTGTGTCTTTCATTTGTTGAATTTTGATGTTTCTCCCTGGAAAACTCAATACCAAAGATCCCAGCTCTGTCCGATTAATGCTATCTCTGATGTTGGAAAAACAAAATTCCTGATTTCTGTGGGCAAAGTGTTAACTATTAAAATTATAATTATAGGGTGCTCCAAAGAGCATCTCGCCGTGAGGACATCTCTTAAATTCTGTTACGCCCAGCCTATTCGATGACGGATTTGTTTGAGCTGTTTTATTGTTGCTATTGTTATTACTGTTGTTTTTAATGTAGAGAGAAATCTATGTGAAAATGAGGGTCAAAATTTAAATTCCTTCAAGTTCTTTTTCCATGCAGTTTTCTAAAGAAAGCTATTTTTTTTCCTCTAACAGCTAAATTTAGAGTTTCAACCTTTCTGCCAGTTGAGTAAATAGCTTTCCATGAATTAGAACTAAATCCCTTTCCCAGAACATCTTTCTGGAGGAAGAGCATTATGTCCTGACACCGTGTGTCTTAGGTTCCCTCTGCACATCCGAAAACCCCAGAAGCAGTTTTAGATGAAGTACATTTGCCTCCTGCCACTGTCATAATTACAGTAACATTCTTGCATTTTCTGCATGGCCTAGCAATGATTAGATTTTGACTATCGGCCGCTTGGATTTTTTTTTCCTTGTGTTATTAATTCCTCTGTGTTTTCTGGTTTTTGAAAAAAAAGTCAAGGGATAACAATGGAATACCAACATTTTTGCCATTTTTCAGCTCTATAAGGAGATTGTCTATTTACGAAAGGAGCACCCGGTGAACTGGCACAAGAACTATGCCATCGCCTGTGAGCGGATGTTACGCCTTCGGGCAGGAGACTCAGACCCTGAAGTCTTGTTATCGGAAACCATCAGACATTTCCGTCTCTACACTCAGAAAGCACGGAATGATCCACAGCTGCCTGATATTTTAGTTGCTCTAAAGCACCTGAGAAAAGAACTGCAGAGTCTGAGGAATAAGAAAAATGTCTGACGCAGCAGAATGTGAAAAACCTGCTCATCCTCCCGCTTCCAAAAGTCCAAAGTCCAAAAGTTTTTCCTCCAAGAAAAGAAGTTGTACACAAAACTCGAAGACCGAGTCAGCTCCCAGATATCAGCAACGTGGTAGGGCAGTATACTGTTCAGTATACTGTGCTCCTTACTGCCATGTGCTCCCTATGCAAATTCTGTTTATCCAGTGTTACCAAATTAGCATTTCAGTGAGAATCTTTCAGAAAAACCTTCCTACTTCCTCGTCTTTCACCTAATGACTTTGCTTGATTGGATGCTAGCAGAGAATAGGTTATTTTCATATACTTTAAATATCGATTGCAGATCTTTTTAAGGGCCCTTTTACTGGGATCCGTTCTGAGGTTAAATTCTTGAAACATTCATACCAGACCAAAGACACATTTTCTGTTTCCCAAAAAGCGATTTTTGTTTTTTTTGAGAGTGAATCTTGCTCTTCCTCAAGTTAAAATACTTTTTTTTTTTTTTTTTGAGTAGCTCTGGTTATTACATAATCTCACACTTCAAGCTAAACACCAACCCAGTGATATTTTGAAAAAAGTTGGGGTTTTATTGTCTTTGATGATTCTCTGAAATCATCAAAAAATAAAGCTAAGCTGTTGTTTGCTTTCTCTCAGTTGCATAAAGTGGCAAATAAAAAGAATTTTGTAGTTCCTTGCTTAATTTTATATTTATGTTTTACTTCTATTTGGATTCATAAATCCGGGCCCAATAATTAGTAAGCTCCTGCGGCCAAAATGAAAAAAAAAAAAAAAACACCACCAAGGGGGGGGGGGGGGGGGGGGGGGGGGGGCGGGGGGAAGTTGTTCAATAAATTCATTTCTGTTACAAGCATCTTTTATACATATTACTAAAGAGAACATAGTAAGAAATGCAAATAATAGTTCTTTATTTTATTATGACAGTTAATTAATAGCAACCTGTTTTAATGAATAAAGTCACCCCGAGTCCTTCAGCACTTCCTAAGTAGAGGCCAGAATCTGTAGGGATTCTTTTCCCCCCAATTGTATAGCTCCTAGACTCCAAGCGCTATATAGGCCCCTGTATAGAAATGCTCACTAATGAAGAGGGAGGGCTAGAAGCTTGTCTGCATTCAAAGATCACTGGTGAGTCATTCAGCAAGAAAAGGCCCCTTACCAGGAATAGTCACAGTTCCGTGGCATTGTACTAGCAAAAGGGTCTGATCAAAGGTCTCCTGTGGAGCTTGCATGGTTCCCTTTCATACTACGACCATAATTAAAACCACTAATTCTCTTTTAAAATGCTGCAGGATGCCATGTAGGCATCTGTCTGGAGTGTCCTTTGTGATGTCATAAGCCGTTAAGGACCAGCGCCGAGGGCTTTTGAGTGAAATGCCAGTCATGAAGGTGCTTCAAGACAAGGGTGCCTCTCAAAGCTTGACAGGGCCTTGACTGCACAATTCGAGCTGAATTTGCCCCTTGTCAGCTGCCAGTAAATAAATCTCAAAGGGGGAAAAGCTGAAGTTTCATTACCTGATCCATGGGGCTTTGTTGGTTTTGGCATCACACAGGGGAAGCTCTTGCCCCTCCATTCTCTGGATTTGAAGATGTCCATTGGAGCCTGCAGTGCCTGGACAGGGTTCAGAGCGGAACCTTTTGAAGAGTGTCAATAGTTGTAACAGTTCAGCTGTTAGGAAGACAAATAAACGGAGGAGCTCATTAATCCGCTTTTGGCTCTCAGTGCCTTTTGCCCTTTTATCACAGCCTTATTAGGCTCCTACTCATCTTGAACCAGAAAAAAATGAATTGGAGTTGTTGAGTGCTAATTGGCAAAGACTTTTAATCATGGGCCAAGAACTTTCACTGACTTGAAAGTAACTTCTCCACGGGGAAGAACCGAAAACCTGGTTTACCTTAAAACAAAAACCTGTTGGAGTTCAGTGTGGTGTAAAAATTTAAGGAGGCATTGATAAATTGTCTAAGTTTATCCATTTGAAAGAAATCATGTGAGATTATGATTTCCACTTTGCTTACGAAAGGTACAATAAAATTCGAATAAACATTTCCTGGACGTGCATTGTTTTTATTGGTTCAGCAAAGAGATCGCGTGCATGTGTGAGATGATCGCGTTTGCTTCTGAACATCTCTATGCAGGTGGATGTGAAAATGCATTTGGGCATCTATATACACGTGGTGTCAGAAGAACCTCATTCAAAGTAGTATTTCCTGTTCGTGGCCTTAAGAACGGCAAATAAAAGTCTCTTCGAGAAGATGTGCTTATTTGTGTCTCTACTGTGGTGCTACATATATACGTCTGAATATGCTTTGTGTGCTGACTGTTGTCAAATGGTGCATAGATTTATTCTGGACGGTACTTGGGCAACAATGGCTTTGGACCACTCTCTCTTTGAGAAAGCAATGATATGATGGCCCCAAGTAGATAGGGCGCTAATTATTTAAATTGTTAAAAACCAACAGTAAATGAAAAAATAGCAAACTGAACCGAGATTTGGGGAGGTTGGGCTTCATTCCCAGATCAACTGTTTTGAAGAATTCTCTCCTTTCTCTTGTGCGAGGTTAAACAAGTTGCTTTCTTTTTCTCTCTCATACTTTTCCCCGGCTGGTGCACAAACACCATAAAACCTGACAGAAGGGGTCTCTTTTTTGTCTAACCCCCCGACATGGAAGACAATGTGAAGGAGGTGACTTCTCATGCAGGATTTGGCCAGGATTCTCCTAGCAATGTCCCTGGAGTGCCACGGGTTGGCAGGGCGACAGGAACCCCACAAGGCCAACTTCTGCCCGGACTTTGGCCTGAAGAGCAAGTGGGAGCCGGCAAAACTGTCTGCCTCTCCTCGCGCTGCCGTGCCCTCCTGCCTGGCGCGGAGGCTGGCGCACACGGGAGGCAAGCAGGGAAGGGGACTGTGGCTCTGAGCCCTCTGACAAAGCCCCCCAGCCGCATTCCCGCTGATGGGAGCTATGCTTGGTTCTTACTTTCGACTTTCCTCTTTCCTTTGCTTTCTTCAGAGGTCTCATTTTTTTTTTTTTAAGTGCTTTTGTCCTATTACTCAAAATAAAGCCAAACTGGAAGGGCATCAATTACTAGTATGCTTTCTTGAGATCTTCTAGTAGAAATTGTGAAATGTTATCTCTGGCCGTCTTCCTAGGGTAGAACCACTATGTTGACTTAGCCTTTATGATACCTAAACAAAGCCCATTTTGAGTGTTAGGGTTATTTTTTGATACTCTGCTGATTTCTTTAAGTC